CCATGCTCACCAGGGGACCCAGAGGCCATGGAGATGACTTGGATGGATGTCCCTAGTGACAAACTGTTAGAGCCTGTGGTTTGCATGGTAAGTGGTCAACTGGCAGAGAGGACTACACAGCCCAGAAAATCGGGGGCTTGGGTCCAAGAATAAAAGTAAGCTTCTCCCCTTTTCTGTCCTAAGCTGTTGTGGCTCCTTCTAAACAGAGAATGGCCTTTGGGGCTCTGGGTAGCTGGGGCTCCTGCTGTTAGATTCATTGAGGGCCCAGGATGGAAGATGTAGTATTAGTATTTTATTTTCTTCAGCAAAAAGAGAAGGGCCAGGTGACTGTGACTGCCTCATTCCATGGGTTTGGCTTATTTTGTACGCAGAAGGAACCAGCAAATGTATGTTGGCATAGAATGATTTGATGCAGTCGCACAGGCAGCCTCTCCTAGCTAGTCTTAACTTCTCCTTGTCCTGGTCTTGCCCATTCTCTATAGCAGGTGTCTGCCTTTGTGGCCGGTGTGGTGAGCGTGCAATTAGAAAGAGCTTCTCACTTGAGTTAGATGATGGGAGCTTAGATTCCCTCAGACCAGCAGTAGGCCCATCTGGAAATGACATAAGCTGCCTCAGTAGGGAAGAGCATCTCTGTCACAGGAGGCAGAAGCTAGGCAACCATAAAGGAGGTCTGCAGCTGGGGCTAGGGCTGGGGCTGACCTCACAGGCAGGCCTCTTCCCACACAGACTGCATGGGTCTGAGAGGCTGAGGACCTGGAGCCCGGCTACTTCTCAGCCACATGCTCTTGTCTTTGCAGTCGGACATGCTCCGGTCTTTGGCCACAACCCGGCCCACCGTGAATGCAGATGACCTCCTGAAAGTGAAGAAATTCTCAGAGGACTTTGGACAGGAGAGTTAAAAGCTTCTTCACTCTGGTGACGGTGAAGGTGGGAGGTTGATTGCGATAAATTCATGCACTCATGTCGGTGGACAGATGGGGCTCCAGGGCTCATCCTAAAGTCACTCCAGTGTCCCATGCTGTCTGGCCACCAGCCGAGGAGCAGGAAGGAAGGGGCTGCCTGGCTGCAGAGACGCAGAAGCACATTCGGCAGCCGGTGGAATATTGACTCTTCCTACTTCCTCCTCCACCTCTTCTGGATGCTCACCAACTCTTTGTCCTGCCACTCCATGGCTGTTTTTTTTAAACCTTTTTTTGTTCCCCTAAATTAATGCTGCTTGGATTCTCGTCTTGTTTATAAATAAAGTTAAAATCACCTGGAAGCATCAAGGAGTGGGAGCAGCCTGTACTGTGGGGTTGGTGCAGCAGACCTGCAGAAGCCACCATGACCTGTTCCTTTTAGACCCAAGTTTTGCTCCTTGTGAACTGAATGGCTGATGCCCTGGATCCCCAGCCCAAGCTCTGCCTGTAAAGGCCAAGAGTAAAGCTAAAAGCCATTCGCACCCTCCTAGGTCGGCATCCCGAGCCCTATGTCCTTCCAGCAGGAGGAGAGGATGGTCTGAGCACAAAGCTGTGTGAATCAGAACGAGTGAAGGCAGCCAGGCGGGTCTCACTGCTGCCTTTTCTTCCCTCTGAATGTGAGAACACTGAACCCAGCCACTGGCCCTGGGTCCCTGTCCTGGAAATGGGCTAATAAATCTTTTTCCCTTCTTGAGCCACCTGAGTGATGATATCATCTTTCACCCTTGGGTTCTTTGAAGGCAATGCTTGCTTCCAACAGAAAGACCTGGTTTTCTCTGCTGTCTTCTCTTCAGCAGAGTAGGAAGTGGGAATGTCACCAGTTGCCACTGTGCCTAAGCCTGCAGTCAGGTTTGTGAGACCTTTTTTCCCTCAGGGCCTCAAAAGTGTTGCTGGGGATATTTGAGGGATTTGAGCAGTCCTTCCTGTTGTCCAGCCTCCAGGTCAGAGTCTCAAACAGGAAGGCCTGTGGGCCAGATGTGGCCTGTAGCTGTTTGGTTTTCTCTGCTGCCAATGTTTAAAAATTAAGAGTGACCCAGCCTGTATGGCTCAGTGGTTGAGCATCGACCCATGCACCAAGAGGTCACCAGTTCAATTCCCAGTCCGGGCACATGCCCAGGTTGTGGGCCAAATCCCCAGTGGGGGGCATGCAGGAGGCGGCCAGTTGATGCTCTCATGATGTTTCTATCTCTCTCCCTCTCCCTTTCTCTCTCAAGTCAATAAAAAATTTTTTAAAAACAAGAGTAGACATAAAAATTCAGATTAGGTAATGCTGGGCCTGTGTCCCTATAAGGCAACCTAGCTACTGCAGCTGAGCAAGGGTGGCCCTATTTAGATGGCAAGTTGCTCTGCAGTTCACCATCCCCATGTGGCTTGTTCACACATTTGCATCGACTGCCTAGCCCCTCTGGCCATTTGAATTTGTGACCCGATTATGAGACACCTAGGCTCGAAAGCTGGCAGCCCTGGAAATGCTGTCTGATGGAACAGAAGCAGTAGCAGCTATCACACGTTGACCACGAGCGTATGAACATACAGAAAATGCCTGGCATGGGTTGTTCAGCCTTCTTCCTCCTCCCACTGGTATCTCATCAAACCCAAATGGTCCAGAACTGAGTATATGGCCAACTCTTAGGTCATGTTAGCCTTGCACTGTGGTGGTTCTTAGATCTGCTGAGTGTCTGCTGAATTGAGCCAACTTTTGCTTGGTTTCTTGAAGGCTTGGGCTTGGGTGCTCCTCTCCATTGCTGGTGAGTTAGCCCTACTTCGTTACCTGGAGTGCCAGCCAGCCTGACCCCCAGATGACATGCAGCAAATATGACTGGAATTTTTGTCATTTGCCCTGGAGTTCCCGAATATTTCTTGCCCTCAGCCACCCATTATGTTTTTAAGTGTTGGACTAGAAGCCAGGATAGGACACGGCCCCCCATGCCTGTACTGTTTTATTTTAACTTTGTGTTTAGTCATATTTTCTTACTCTATCTCCAGTTACCTTTACTTGAATCAGAAGGTCCTTTTATTTTTCTTAAACCTGCTTCCTCATTTCTACTGCTTGAACACCTAGACAAGTCACAGGGGTGAATAGAAACTTAGGGCTGCTGTGGGTCATCCTCATAGCTAGTCACAGGTATCACAAACACCCTGAGGTTGAACTAACCTCAGACATGCTGTGGCCTCAGTCTCTGTAAATCATGGCCAGTAGTGCAGAGAAATTTCCTCCCAAAGTGTTTACTCTGAAATCTACTTCTTCCCTACCTGGAATTCTGTTCTAAACCTTCTGCCTACATTGGCTTTCACTGACTTATAAAACTCTCATATCTCCAGATGCTGATTTGTGTGTGTGGTTTTTGTGGCTAATACATCTGCCTGAGGTGGAAGAAATTTTCTCTATTGGGAATGAAGGATTTGCCTTTGGGCTGTAGTGTCTTAACTGATAGACTAAATCTTCCCTCCTATGTGGATGTGGTCACAACAGTAATCTCATATTGTCAGCAACAGGACACTGAAGTCATATGCTGAGCTTCATTACAAAGCCATAACTAAGGACTGTTAACCTCAGAGCACTGGAAGGAAGTGTCAGAATTTCTTTCTAAAATATTTTAGAAAGACGAAGGCTGGGAGAGAGAAAGAAAAATATCGGTTTGTTATTTCACTTATTTATGCATTCTTTGGTTGCTTCTTGTATGTGCCCTGACCAGAAATCGAACCCTCACTCAGACTTGGTGTATTGGGATGATGCACAAACCAACTGAGCTACCCAGCCAGAGCCCAGAATGTTCCAAGGCCACTCTGCAGGAGCCTATGAACATTGTTTAAAGGAAAGGAGGCTCACTGAATTCTAGCTTTCCTAAGGACCTGTTTTAAATATTAATGAGAGCTTTCTACAGACTTCCCCAATGGCTTCGTGTCTAACCTCTCCACAGGATAGTGCTAGGTCCTGTTCCTCTCCAAAATTTAATGCACAGAGAGCCAGTTAATTTTTACTTGGCCTCATGGACCTCCCAGACTTGGCCTGTTTAGAAAAAGCTGTAGAGGAGAATGGGTCTTTCCTGGGTTCATTTAATTAACTGCTATTTAAAATTTGTTCTCTCTAAACAACTTACTGGACTTAATAGGTGGACACCTGGACTTTGAGGACTTTGATAAGAGTACCAACTATGCAAAACTCAACATAAAAATGAGATAAGACAAGTACCTAAAGAAACAAATTTCTTTACCTCTGACAGCATCTTAAGGTTAAACATTGGTCAATCAACATGATGTTAATTTATTTTTCCAAAAGAAGTGTGGTGACTAGGAAGCACAAGTTCTGTTTTCTATTCTAATTGTGACAGAAAGAGGCTCTTGCTTCTTCTCAACTATCACCCTTCCCCTATCCCCGCTCCACGGCCTCCACCCAAAGAACAAGCCAAGTATCAGCTGCCCAAGAAACCTCAGCAAGAAAAACCTTCAAGTCTGTTAAAGGTAGAAGGCAAAAAGGTGGAAACCTAACCTGTACTGAACCTGTTAAAATGTGTGGCTATTCATTTATGTTAATATTCTCACTAAACACTTCCATGAACTGGGGCCATTCTATCCTGTTTACTTCACAAGCACACTGGTGTCCAAGGCAAAGAAGGACTGTAGGAAAGACGCACCAAACCCCCTGTAAAAATAAGAATTTGGTAAAGGTCAATCACAGCCTTAACCTGCATTTTAAACACAGCTTTCAGATATTTTGGGACTACATTTATCATCAAATCTTGGCTTTGGGAACATTGCACAGGTCTTACGAAGTCATGTCTACTGAGAGTGGTTATTGCCCCACTCATTCTCCATACAAAATTACCATGGCCCTGGTTAGTCTGGCTCAGCAGTTAGAGCATCGGCCCACGGACCAGAGAGTCCCAGGTTCAGTTCCCGCTAAGGGCACGTACCTCAGTTGCGGTTTGTCCCCAGCACCAGTTGGGGTCATGCAGGTGGCAATCAGTCGATGTGTCTCTCACATAGATGTTTCTCTCTCTTCTTCCCTCTCTCCCTCCTGCTCTATCTGAAGATAAATGCAAAAATGTCCTCTGGTGAGGATTAAAAAAAAATTACCATGAAATGTCCACTCCTTTAGGGGAGTTAGTTTTCTTCTCAATTTGAAGTTTATATTTCACAACTCATTTTGGAGCAGTCATTTTAAACATCTTCCTCCAACTCAGGCATACTTCGGAAGTCCATTGTTTTCTGTTGGAGCCAAGTCAATGCCAAGTAAGACATGCCCAGCTCAAAGCCAAAGTGTTTGTGTCCTGGTTTTCTAAATCAGATGTAGCAGGAAAGTTTTAGTCATTCACCTCCATCCAGTGGATGTTTGTAAATGTCTTGCTATCCATTTTGTCAATGAACAGGCAGCCCTGCAAGTGGTCCATCTCGTGCTGGATGATGCGAGCTGCCCACCCATTGGCCTGCCACACCACCTGCTCTCCTCTGGGGTCCAGCCCTGCAAAGGAAGTTACAGTCTGGGTGAGGACATGCTGAACTGCATCATTCTCAACCTCCTTACCCTTTTCCTGCCCCTGGATGTTCCTATTTACAAGAGGCAACATCAGAAGGGAACTCAGTACCTCATTCTCCCTAGAAAAGATACCCCTAACTCTGCCTATTACCAAGTAGTCAACCTGGTTCCCAACCCTAACACTTAGATTGCTGGGCTTACTATCGGGATGAGATCAAAAATGATCTTCCTGATAAGGTGCTTCTCTTCTGAACACTCCTTCTGCTTCTGAAGTACTGATGTTTGCTTTCAATTCCTCACAAAAGTATTTCAGCTTGGTGCGATATAAAATAAGGGATAGTCATTGACTTTCTGATTCTCACGGACCAAGTGGCCTGCTCAGGAGGGACAATCATGCCAACCCCAGCAAAGAACCACATTCCACAAAACATCCTGAAATGGCTTGTCACCCTCACCCTGGGCTGGGTAAAGCAGGTCCCACTTCTCCCACTCCACCATGACAGATCTCATTGGGGGGAAGTGTGTGACAGAGTGAGGAGGGCACAGAGAGACCAGAGGACCGGCAGTGAGGAAACAGCGTAACCAGGTCACCCTAACCAACCACACTCCACACTTCCCACCCATTTCCCCTAAATTGAGCTGGCTGTGCTCTCACAGGGGCTCAAAACCCATCCGTCAGTCCCAAGCCCCGTCCATTCCCAGGTCCTGTCCTTTGTCATGCCGGGAGGTTCCGCTGATCAGCCATCAACGCGTCTACACTTGAAGTGGAGCTTTACAGAAACTTGCGTGGCATCCAAAGCTGCCGACTCTACAGGCAGAAGATACAAAAGCGCTAACCCACCGCCCCAGGGCTCCTGCCATCCCGCACCTGAGATCTGCACCGCCTGGAAGCGGGGCACGCAGGCCAGGAAGCCTGCGACGCTCTCGCAACCCTCGGGAAAAGTGACCAGGCGGCTGTCCAGCACCCGCAGGCTGGGGTTCACGAACACGCGCAGGGGGAAGGGCTCCATCTGGCGGGCCTCGCGCAGGCGCGGCGCGCACGCGCGGAAGAGCGCCTCGGGGAATTCCACGGCCAACACCTGCAGCGGCACTCCGAGCTGCGGCGCGCTCAGGCCCACGCAACGCCGGCGCCGCATCACCTGCACCAGCCGCTGCACCAGCCGCTGCAGTTCGGGCCCCGCCAGCTGCCCCGGCTCTACTGGGGCCGCAACGGCCCGCAGCGCCGGGTCCCCGACTTGGCACACGCGGCGATACGGGGGCTCGGGCGCTCCCTGCACCAGACGCCGCAGGTAGCGCCAGTAGGAACGCCGGCGCGCCGGTCCCTCGAGGTCGTCGCGGGCGGGCGTGGAGCTGCAGGCCCGGGCGCTGCCGGCTGCCACCCCCTCTCCCCACAGCAGGGCCGGCCCCACGAGGCGGCGCGCCCTTGCCAGCAGCGACTCGGCCCCCAGTCGACCCATAGTGCGCTCCTGTAGCGCCCGCCGGGATCCGTTCTTCTCTGGGCCCCGTGGCCAAGCGCTCCCGCCGCAAGGGACGCCGGGAAGCGTAGTTCCCTCCCACCTTCCCGCCCACAGACCGTTGTCCGCTTCTCGGTGACGGTAATCAGCTTTATTAAGTTATTTCATTTCTTACGGTACAAGAGGGACCAGGAGGTCCCCTCTTTAATTTTTTCATGCGTGCCTTCGCAGCCTCTCCCCTGGGGCTGTCCCACCGGGTGCTGCGGCAAGCCCTCAGGCCCAGGCCCTGGGTGCTGCGCCTGGTTCTGGGAGCAGGGAGCCTCTATTAAGTGCTCGCACTGGGCATATGGGCCTGCAATGGCTCCGCTGATTCAACCTGCTCTTGCCTCTCCTCAGGGAAAGCCGGAGTGACGGGCTCAAGGCTTGGCTCCTCGGGCAGGAGTTCTGGTGCTGGAGCTGTGAACTCTGGCAGTGGGTCCTTTTCATCTAGCCAGAAGACCATCTCTTTCTTCGGCAGGATAAAGTCGAGAGGCTCCTGGACGATGCTGATGTTCACATGCCCAAGGTTTCCGTACTTGGAGAGCTGAGTGGGTGGAATGCCTGACCCACAAGTAGGCAAAGTGAAATGGAAAAAACGTTTAATAAATGTAAATACTGATGTGTCAAAGGAAAGTCACAATTACCATTATTTCAACATAGTAAGTCCTCTCTATGATACAGGACATGAAGCTATACTGTAAAGTGAACGTAATCTGGAACAGCACAGTGCAGGGCAGATGGAGTGAGTCAAGAGCACCTCCGCAGGCACTGGCTTTCAAACTGTTTCATGCCCAAGAGAAAAGCTGGGGAGAAAGTGGTGAACAGCCAGGTTGCTGGTGTGATTACTGGCCCACTGCCCTTTGGGAAGTTTTGCCTCTCTCATGCCCCACACCTAACCCCAGAGGCAGAGAAATTGGGTACAGGGAAGTGGAGGCAAATTGGAAAATCATACAATAGGTGGTTCTTTTGTGATTAGCTTCTACTTAGCAAGATCTACACATGTTGTATGATTCCATTTATATGAAATGTCCAGAAAAGGCAAATCTACTGCATCAGAAAGTAGATTAGTAATTGCCAGGGGCTACGAATGAGATTGGGGAAGGACTGCATTGGGCATGAGGGATCTTTTTAGGGTGATGGAAATGTTCTAAAATTGAATGGTGGTAATGGTTGTACACCTCTGTTTTTTTTTTGTTGTTTTTTTTTTATCCTCACCCGAGGACATTTTTCTATTTTTTGTACAGATAGAGTGGGAGGGAGGGAGAGGAAGAGAGAGAGAGAGAGAAACATCGACGTGAAAGGGACACATCGAGTGGCTGCCACCCGCACGACCAACCAGGGCCGGGGACAAACTGCAACCGAGGTACGCGCCCTTAGCGGGAACTGAACCCGGGTCTCTCTGGACCGCAGGCCGACGCTCTAACCGCTGAGCCAAACAGGCCAGGGCACACCTCTGTACATTTACTAAAACACACTGAATTTTACAAATGGGTGAATTAATTTGTGAATAATATCAATAAAATAGTTTTAAAAATCTTTCCTCCTGGGGGAGGGGTGAATGGGGGGAACATCTGCAACAAAAATTAATTAAAAAATAGAAAAATAAATAAAATAAATAAATAGTTCTGGTCAAGATGGCGGCATAGGTAAATTCAGTATCATGTCCTCCCACAACCACATCAAAGTTACAACTAAACTACAGAGCAACCATCATTCAAAGCTGTGGGAAATCAAACTGAATGGAAGTCCTACAACTACGGAATTAAAGCAGCAGCTGGTTCGAGACTGGTGGGAGGGGCGGAGGCAGACGGGCTGGTTCCACACCCATGTGTGGCAGATAAAAATCAGGATACCTTGGCTGGGAAGGTCCTCCCTGAGGACTGAGGGGTCCCCGTCCCACACCAGGCACCCCACTCAGGGTTCCAGGAAGATAAGTGCCCATAACCTCTGGCTGGAAAAACGAGCAGGAACTGAGGCTCAGGGAAGCTGAAGCAGCTGGAGCCCCAGGCAGCTCCTTAAAGGGCTCACACACGGACTTATCGGACTCACTCCCTCTAAGCTTGGAGGGGAGGCAGCTCGAGGGGCGCCAGAGACATACAGGGAAGAACTGAGCTGTTTGGCATTGGAGCGAGGGCTGGAGAGGGGGCTTTCTCCTGGACAGACATGCTGTCAGAGGCCTTTGCTCCTTTGGTGAGCCCTTCCCTGGGGAGGCAGACAGCCGCCATATCTGGGACTCCAGCAACCTGGCTCACACTGGTTGCCTTGCCCTGGTGACTCCCTGAGGCCCTGCCCCACCCCACCCAACTTTCAGGCCCACCCAAGCTGTTGCCAGTTGCTTCACCATAGGATTAGCCTGTCTTGGATCCTGCTTCAGGTTTTCCTAAATTCTTTCAATCAAGCAGCATCTGGTCTCAGCGAGCCCCATACCTCTCCTTAAGTAATACATAGAAACAAACACAGGGAGGCAGCCAAAATGAGGAGATAAAGAAACAGGTCCCAAATAAAAGAACGGAAAAAATCTCCAGGAAAAGAACTAAGCGAAATGGAGATAAGCAACCTAACAGATGCTGAGTTCAAAACACTGCTTATAAGGATGCTCAATGAACTTAGTGAGGGCCTCAAGAGCATGAAAAAGGACCAGCCAGAAATGAAGGAGGCACTAACTGAAATAAAGAATAATTTACACAGATTCAATAGTAGAGTAGGTAAAGCCAAGAAGCAAACCATCGATTTGGAATATAAGGAAGCAAAAAACATCCAATCAGAACAGCAAAAAAAAAAAAAAAAAAAAAAGAATCCAAAGAAATGAGGATAGTGTGAGGAGCCTCTGAGACAACTTCAAGTGTGCCAACATTCGCATCTTGGGGGTGCCAGAAGGAGAAGAGAGAGAACAAGAAATCGAAAACCTGTTTGAAACATTAATGGCAGAAAACTTTCCTACCTTGGTGAAGGAAACAGATATACCAGTCCAGGAAGCACAGAGAGTCCCAAACAAGATGAACCCCAAGAGGCCCACACTAAGACACATCGTCATCAAAATGCAAAAGGTTCAAGACAAAGAGAGAATCTTAAAAGCAGCAAGAGAAAAGCAGTTAGTTCCCTACAAGGGAGTTCCCATAAGGCTGTAAGCTGATTTCTCAAAAGAAACTTTGCAGGCCAGAAGGGAGTGGCAAGAAATATTCAGAGTGATGAAAAGCAAGAACCTACAACCAAGATTACTCTATCCTGCAAAACTGTCATTTGGAATTGACGGTCATATAAAGAGTTTCCCAGACAAGAAAAAGCTAAAGGAGTTCATCACCACCAAACCGTTATTATATAAAATGATGAAGGGTCTTCTTGAAGAAAAGGATAAAATACATGAACAAACAAAATGGCAATGAATACATATCTATCGACAATGGAATCTACAAACAAAATGAACAAGCAGAACAGAAACATTCTCATAGATACAGAGAACATTTTGTTGGTTGCCAGATGGGAGGGGTGTTGGAGGAATGGGTGAAAAAGGTGAAGGGATTAAGAGGTACAAATTGGTGGCTAGACTGACAAACCTCAAAGGGAAGGGGGTTGAGGGGTGGGAAGAAATAAACCAAAGAACTTATATGCATAACCAATGGACACAGACAACAGTGTGATAAAAGGCAGGAGGGGGGCGGGAGTGGGGAGGAGGGGGTCAATGAGGGAAAAATGAGAAACATCTGTAATACATTCAACAATAAAGATTAAAAAAAAAAAAAAAGCAAGCCCTGGCCGGTTTGGCTCAGTGGTTACAGTGTCCACCTGTGGTCCAGAGAGATCCGGGTTCAGTTCCCGGTAAGGGCATGTACCTTGGTTGCGGTTTGTCCCCGGCCCTGGTTGGTCGTGCGGGTGGCAGCGATGTGTCCCTTTCACGTCGATGTTTCTCAATCTCTCTCTCTCTCTCTCTCTCTCTCTCTCTCCCTCCCTCTCTCTCTCCCTCCCTCCCTCCCTCCCTCCCTCTCTCTCCCTCCCACTCTGTCTAAACAAAAAATGGAAAAATGTCCTCGGGTGAGGATAAAAAAAAATAATAATAATTTAAAAAAGAAGGGAAAAAATATATATATATAAAATATTTCCTTCTTTCTCTTACCTAATGTCTGTGCTATCTGAGCCGGTGGAAAAAGGACTTGGAGACAGCGATTTAAATAAGGAACGAGGTCCTCCAGGAAGACAGTGCAGAACTGGATGAAGAGTTCTCGCTCCCCATTGGTGAAGGCCGCATCTTCAGCACGATGGAAGGCCAGGATTACTTTGGTCACCTAAGAGACAAAGGCACCATGAATCACTACAATAGTCTATCATACTATGATAGTAATGCACAAAAGTAAGCACAGATGTGCAGCCCCTCAAGTGTTCATGAATAAAGTCATTACAAACAGTATGTTATATTACTATCTTGTTTGAATTCAGAACTGTGATCACGCTCCACAATTCTGTCACTCCACTGATGTATTTCTGACCCATTACTGGCGCTTTTTCCAGTGGAAGAGAATACATGGTTCTTGCCTCCCATGGGACACCGTCCAGAATTATGTTGGATCCAGGAAAATGAAACAAAAACTATAAAAGGTTTTTACTGAGTAAGGCCTTGAGGTTCCAGGAAGTTAGACCACTGAAAAATTGTAAAGGAAGAAGGAGACAGAGCTGGAAAAGAAGTTCCAAAATATAAAGAAAAGAGCAGCCGCCCTGGCCGGTTTGGCTCAGCGGTTAGAGCGTCAGCCTGTGGTCCAAGGAGACCCGGGTTTGGTTCCCGCTAAGGGCACGTACCTTGGCTGCAGTTTGTCCCCGGCCCTGGTTGGGTCGTGTGGGTGGCGGCCACTCGATGTGTCCCTTTCACATCGATGTTTCTCTCTCTCCCTCTCTCTCCTTCCCGCTCTATCTGAGTAAAAAATGGAAAAATGTCCTCAGATGAGGATAAAAAAAAAAAAAAAAAGAACAGAGCAGCCTAGCTGACATTACAGACAGGTGTCAAGCTGACGGTTAATAACAGACTCTGGAACTAACCGTCCTGGTTCAAGTCTTAGCCATGCCTCTTACTGTGACTTCCAACTGATTACTTAAGTCTTCCATGCCCTCTGTGCCTCAGTTTCTTTGTCTATAAATATGGTTAACAACAGGACCTACCTCATAGAGTTTTAAGGATTAAGTCTTTAATATTTGTAAAGTATGATAAAGGCTACTTGGCATATATATAATTATTAGCTGATCACTATTACTTGAATTTCATTGACTCTAAAAAGCTTCAATGCTCATGCTTTCTTGCTCTTACATGAGCATATCAATAGATTTTATACAATCAAGTCACAACTGCCACTTGTCTGATTGCAATTATATGGTGTCATCAACTATAAAAAACATCCCAATATCTAAAGGTTTAAATGTATAAAAAGTTCATGCCCTGACCAGTGTGACTCAGTTGGCTGGAGCGTCATCCTGTACACCAAAAGGTGGCAGGTTTGATCCCTAGTAAGGGCACATATCCAGGTTTCAGGTTCAATCCTTGGTCGTGGCACGTACAGGAGGCAACTGATTGATGTTTCTCTTTCACATCAATGTTCCTCTCTCTCCCCCTTCCTCTCCAAAAAAAAAACAACCAAAAAAACAAAAACAAAAACGTGTACCATACTAAGACATTAGCAGTAGTAATAGCATTACTTGTGTTAGGGAGATAAATGGTGATGGAAGGAGTCTTTACTTGGGGTGGAGAACACACAATACAGTGTTCAGATGATGTGTTAAAAAAAAAATATAGCCCTGGCCGGTTTGGCTCAGCGGTTAGAGTGTCGGCCTGCAGTCCGGAGAGACCCGGGTTCGGTTCCCGCTAAGGGCATGTACTTCGGTTGCAGTTTGTCCCCGGCCCTGGTTGGTCATGCGGGTGGCAGCCACTCGATGTGTCCTTTCACGTCGATGTTTCTGTCTCTCTCTCCCTTCCTCTCTCTCCCTCCCACTCTATCTGTACAAAAAAAATGGAAAAATATCCTCGGGTGAGGATTAAAAAAAAAAAAAAAAATATATATATATATATATGGCAAAGGTGAAAGATTTTGTAATTGTAATTAAAGTCCTTAATCAAGTGACTTTGAATTAATCAAAAGGGAGATTATCCTGAGTGGGCCTGACTTAGTCAGATGAACCTTTTTTTCTTTATTGATTTGAGAGAGAGGAAGGGAGAGGGAGAGGGAGCTAGAAACATCAATTGGCCGCCTCCTGCATGCTCCAACTGGGGATTGGGCCCACAACCTGGGAATCGAACCAGCGACCTCTTGGTGCAACACTGGCCGGGTGCAAATGAGCCTCTTAAAAGAGTGTTGAGGACCTCCCTAAAAGAGATTCGTGCGGGAGAGATACTATTCCATTGGCCTTGAATAAAAAAGCCACAGTATGAACTGCCTATGGAGTGGGGTGGCCTCAAGGAGCTGAGGGCCTCAATCCCATAACTGTAAGGAACAGAAATCTGCCAATGTGAATGAGCTTGAAAGGGGACCCCAAGCTCCAGATGAGACCACAGCCTGGCCAACACATTCATTGCAACTTTGTGAGATCCTGAGCAAAGGATCCGGTTATGCTGTGCCTGGACTCCTGATCCACAGAAACTGGGAGATGATAAATGTCTGTGGGAGTTTGCTATGCGATAGAAAACTAATACATTACAGAATCATTACTATAGGTGAGCCACTTCATGAGCTGTTTTAGGTTCCATGAAGAACAACTAACCGGTTAAGAACTGCTTAGCCATTAACAAACCTCCAAAACCACACTAAACCTCTAAGTAAGCAATCACCATTGTCATATGGAATGGTTTATCACCAAAGTCTGGCCTGTAACCAAAGAAAGTTCTAACAGAGAGCCAACAATATGTGCTCACCTTAGCAAGGGTGTCCTCCAGGGCCCTAGTCACATCCTGTGCCAGGGCAATGGGACAGCAAAGGCGCAGATCATTGAAGGCAACGAGAATATTGTTAAGGAAGCAGGCAAGGGGTGGGAAGTCTAAGAGCACCATGGGTGGCTGCAGGGTCCCTGGCTGAGTGACTGGCACAGCAGCAGGCAGGTTACTACTGCCTAGGATGGCTGGAGCCAAGATGAGGGTGTAGGAGTTCATTTCATCTTGGAACTTCTCCACTGCTTCCTGAATTGCTTTCTGGAAAGTGCTGATAGCTACCTGCTGGAAAACAGGAGCCAACTGGCCCCGGAAATCAGCCCCCACCCTACTGAAGGACAGCCCAAAGTACATGCACTGGCCCAGCAGGGAGTCCAGGCGGCCGCCTATCCCTCGGTGAAGGTCAGTTTCCAGGACCTGCAGGAACTGTGAGACTTTCTGCAATACCCAGCCATGGAAGATAGCACTCTCATTCACAGTGTGCTCACTCATGGCAGGGGAGAGCAACGGGTCCTCGTCTGAGAAGATGGCACGGTACTGAGTGATGATATCAAATAGATGGACACGGCAGGCCTCAATGGTTTTCGTGATGTGGAAATAGGGATCATCATTGGGGATGGCAGTCAGGATGGAACGGAGCCAGGCATCTCGGGCCTGAAGAAACTTCACCCTCAACTCAGCCTCAGTGAAGATGTCCATGCGCCTCAGGAAGCCAATGACACGGAGGCAGGCAGGGAGCTGGATGTTGGTCCTCAGTTGCTGGATCAACTGGCTCAGCATCAGCTGCATAGATTGGCGTACTTCATTCACAATGCCCTGACAATACAGAGGGTGAGTCATACCGTGCTTGTGAACACACTCCCTGGAACTCATTCCACTAACCCTGATTATTACAGACCAACATTTCCACTGCTTTCTTGACATACAAAGTACATTGCCTAAAGCTGACATGTACAGGTTCACTATAGCCTATAGGCCCTGCCTGCTTCTCTTACCTCACCAGCTTGCTCATGTTTCCCCTTGCTCACTGCACTCCAGTCCCACTGGCGGTCTTTGTATCTGTTAACACTCCAACTTCCCTTCTCGGCCTGCTGTACTTGTTCTTTCCACTTTCTGGTTTGCTCTCTCTCCTTACATCTATGTGTGGCTGGGTCCTTCCCATCATCTAGGTCTCAGCTTAAATGTTCTCTCTCCCAAGAGCCTTTCCTGACCACTCTCCCTAGAGTAACTCACCCTGGCCTCCTATCCCATTCCCTGGTTTGTTTTCTCTAGGCACTATCTGAAAGGATCACATTGTTTATTTGCCAGCTATCAGCTTAATTCATGAGAGCCAGGGCCTTATTTGCTTTGTCCACATTGTATACCCAGCACCTAGTTTAGTGCCTGGCACACAGATTTATATCTCTCAGTTGAATAAATAAATGAATATGTTTTTTATGTTCAACCTGCCTGGCCAGAACTGATGTGAAACATGCAAAGAGTTTCCCTATTGTTTCTGCCTAATGCTTCAGTGAGGACCACAAAATTACTGACAGAAAGAACATGAGTTTGAGTTCTCTCTGGGGAAGTTGGCTACCTGGATGACAGGGATGGAGGAGTATTTCCTTTCCAGTCGGCGTACGTAGGCTGCAAGCTCCAGGGCCTCCTCATAATAGCTGTTCCGGACACAGGTATCCATGAGCTGAGGAATCTCTAGGATTTCCAGGACTTCTGTGTGCCGGTTTAGAGTCAGGGTGTTCATCCGGCGGTTGGAGCTGATCTCCTCAGCCTCTTTTACAAAGTTCCTAGTACAATTAGGAGAAATGTTGATTGTTCACTGCTGTACACCCAAATCTTCACTGTAATTACCCAGCGTTTATTGTGAACTGGGCACTGAGCTGGATGGTTTATCTGATTTAATTTTCACACCAAATTATAAGGTAGGTACCCTTGACAAAATTTTAATCTCAGAGAGGTTAAGCAACTTGTCCAAGATCACACAACTAATAAATGATAAAAAGGTCTGAACCCAGATCTGCCACTTAACTAGCTGTGGCAAGGTACTTAGACTTTCATAACTGTTTCCTCATTGGTAAAATAATAGGATCCACCTCGTAAGGATGTAAGGATTAAATGAGATATGTGCAAAGTATTTACCACAGTATTTACTGACTCACAGTAAATGTTCCTTTGATAATAGCTATACTTATTATTTTCATAATAATAAACTAAATAGCCTAGAGACTACAGCCTTATCCCCAAGTTCCCTCAGCCTCTTAATCTATTCCTATGCTATTGTTCAACCTTAGTTCCCACCAGTTTCCAATTCTTCTGCATAAAAGCAGAGATCACTTTGTGAAGTCCCCTATCTATGCTGCGGTGGGTGGAAGGTACAAAAGCTATTGTGTGCCCTGGCCGGTTTGGCTCAGCGGTTAGAGCGTTGGCCTGCGGTCCGGAGAGACCCGGGTTCGGTTCCCGCTAAGGGCATGTACCTCGGTTGCAGTTTGTCCCCGGCCCTGGTTGGTCGTGCGGGTGGCAGCCACTCGATGTTTCACATCGATGTTTCTCTCTCTCTCTCCCTCCTGCTCTATCTGAACAAAGAATGAAAAAGTGTCCTCGGGTGAGGATAAAAAAAAAAAAAAAAAAAAGCTATTGTGAAATATCCTAAGACTCAAAAGAATATTTAAAACTTTTATCATGAAAGGCTGAAAGCCAGAATTAGCGATAATGGATTGAGGATCTAGGGAAGCAGAATATGACTCAAAAAGGAAATCCTGTTGGAAGGATTTCCTTGTGAGCTTCTTATCAATGAAAAGTTTTGGAGAAGACTTCTGGTCTGAGCTGTTGCATGTGTTGTGTCTGTATGTGTTTATGTATATTTACATAAGTATGCATATATATTACGCTGCCAATTATTTATAGTTAAGTATGTAAGACCCAATTCTTAGTGCTTTGCATAGATGCGCACACGCACACAGCCCTCTGCGGGACGGACGTGCTGCTGGGTTCCAACTCTGACTTGGAAACTTAGGAGCTGTGCCCTTGGACAGTCACTAACCTCTCCGTGTCTCAACTTCCTTACACATAAAATGGGATAAACAACACCTACCTCGAAGACTTGTGAAGTTTAAATGGATTAATGAAGTGCTCAGAGGAAAGCCTGGCACATAGCGCTACGTAAGTGTTAGCTATCTCTATCACGGTAAATGTTACTTATTACAGTTGTTTAAAAGCCCCTTTAGCACCGGGCCCACCGCACCTGCAGCTCTGCTGGAAGCTGGGCAAACGGTCGAGCAGGCGGCCGAGCGACGCCTCCACGTCGCCAAACAGGCGGTGGATGCGCTCGGTGCACTCGGCGCCGCGGATGAAGGTCTTGTAGTTGGCGAAGGCCAAGTCGCGCGTTTGCTGCAGCAGCTGGGCCCGCTCCTCCGCCAGACGCTCGGGCTCGCGCCGCAGCCGCTCCAGCCCGGAGCCGCTCAACTCCCGGAGGTAGCGACCTACGTCGGGCCGTTCCCGCCACTGAGCCTCCGGGAAGCGATCCCGGAACAGCGATGCCAGGAGCCCTTCATCCTCCACCTCCCCGAGAGCCGCTGCGGTGGCCGTGGCGGAGGCCGAAGTGAAGGATGCAGCGGCCGTGGAGGATGCCGAAGTGGAGGAAGGAATTGCCGCCATCGTCGCCATCTTCCCGGCAGCAGCGTCGCTTCCCGAACCAGCCCAGAGAGGGCGCTGACTCCGAATCTAGGACCGGAGGCAACAGTGGTACACTTCCTGTCTCTATGGTTTCTTGTTCGGCGGCTTTCTTTACCTATAGCCCTTGAAGCCAAGGGGCGCTGGCGTGCGGAACCAATGGAAAGCGGTGGGGAGTTGGACTTTGGCGTTACCAGGAAGAGGCTGGAGACTGACTTCCGCTTCCGGCGGCTGAGGCACGAGGATCTGGTGTTGCGACAGCGGGAGAATGCGGCCTTTGACTGAAGAAGAGACCCGTGTCATGTTTGAGAAGATAGCAAGATAGTAAGAGCGCGCGGGGCAGAAGAGGGAGCGTGTGTGGTGGGGAGGGGCAGGGGTGCAGCGGGGCCGGGACCAGTCCGTTCGGACGCGGCCTCCAGTCCAACGTTTGCCTACAGCATTGGGGAGAATCTTCAGCTGCTGGTCGACAGGCCCGACGGCACCTACTGTTTCAGGCTGCACAACGACCGGGTGTACTACGTGAGGTGAGGAGGGACCGGGTGGGCAGCATGGACCCGGGTGGGGGCCTGGGTCCCACCAGCGCCCTTATATGACACCTTTTTCTTCCTTACTTTTTAAGTGAAAAGATCTTGAAGTTGGCTGCCAACATCTCTAGTGACAAACTGGTGTCTCTGGGGACCTGCTTCGGAAAATTCACCAAGACTCACAAATTCCGGTTGCACATCACAGCTCTGGATTACCTTGCGCCCTATGCCAAGGTTTGTGGGGTGGGTTCCAGTCGGCCCCTGGGGATGGAGGAAGTCCGGGATGAGGGCCACCTCAGAACGCAGATAATTGGGCAGCTTCTCGGCCACGGAGTTCCTGATAGTGCTTGCAGTCAGTGCTAGTAGGTGGAGATGCTTTGGGTTTGGTTAGGGCTCTGGGGCAGGAGTGCTATGTGACTAATAGTTGTAATTATCTCCGCAAGGTAGAAAAGCCTCTGCAAACCCAGCTGAAGATGGAGAAGCAAATAGGTGGCTGTGATTAGGAGCACAGTGGGTCCAGAAAAGAAGCTGTTTAACTGTGCATGGGAGAAGTTGCTTGTAGAGCGGAGGAAGTAAAGAACCAAAGAACCTGGCAGTTCTGTTCAGGGGATGAACAGTTTGAGGGAAACATACATCGTTCAAGAAATTAATCACAGATGCAGCAGCTAGCTTATCCGCAGGGATATAACTATTAGCATTTCTATTTCTTGGATTTAATTCTATTTTATAGTACAAAGTGTGGATAAAGTCTGGAGCAGAGCAGTCCTTCTTGTATGGGAACCATGTATTAAAATCTGGACTGGGTCGAATCACTGAAAATACTTCTCAATACCAGGGAGTGGTGGTATATTCCATGGCAGACATCCCTTTGGTGAGTACAGATGGTAACTGTTACAAAAATTAAGGATCTTCTTATTCAAGAAGGATGTATTTTTATTTATTTATTTATTTACTTACTTACTTATTAGTCACCTGAGGACATTTTTGCATTTTTTTGTTCAGATAGAGTAGGGGAGAGAGAGAGAAATATCGACGTGAAAGAGACACATTGAGTGGCTGCCACCTGCACGACCGAACCAGGGCCAGGGACAAACCGCAATCAAGGTACATACCCTTAGTGGGAACCGACCCTGGGTCTCTTGGGACCGCAGGCCAACGCTCTAACCGCTGAGCCAAACCGGCCAGGGCAAGAAGGATGTATTTTTAGTCTGTGGGCTTGAAAGATTAAATTTTTACTTTCTCAGAGAACTGTATTTTCTTCATCTTTGTTATTTCCAGCCTTCATTGCGTGCTTATTGAATGACTTGAGTGAATCAGTGTGTCTTCTTTTGAATCCCAGGGTTTTGGGGTGGCAGCAAAGTCTACACAAGACTGCAGGAAAGTAGACCCCATGGCGATTGTGGTATTTCATCAAGCAGACATTGGGGAATATGTACGACATGAAGAGACATTGACTTAAAACGGAATCTTCGCAAGAACTTATGGCTGTGTGAAAGGGCCTAGCTTTGTTTCCAGTGTCTGTGTAGGCTCCACCAACATGTTGAATTTTGTTTACACTGTGACCTCTCCAGGGACTTCTTAGTTTAATATTCTTTCTATTATGGACAAATGCAGGCTGGATCTTATTAAGCAGAAATGGGTCAAAAATGGAGTTTCAGATGTTTGTGTTTGTTACAAAACAGAATATTGTGTCTTATATTTTAATCAGAGGGCTTATTTTTAGTGAAAGGTTCTAAGTCATTGGAATTGAGAACAAGAATAGCTTATAATTGTTATTTGTGATAACACTGTTTTCTAAACCCATGATGAGAACGCAACAGGTTTTCTGACTTATTATTACTATAAAAGATAGGTATTGCTGTATCGGAATAGTATGCTATGTCTGGGATTTTACAAATGAAATTTGGATAAAATACTGAGAGAGCAATTTATTCTGCTTATTTTCCTCATGGTTGGTGCTCTGTGGTGTGAAGGAACACTTGAATTCTAAACCTAGTTCCAATACCTACCAGCTCTATGATACTTTAGATGAATTATTAAGCTTTAATGAGCTTGATTTTCTTCTTTGTCAAAAAACAGCTTTAACCATCTACTGAAAAATGGTTTTTAGAATTAGAAATGATTGTAAAGTACCTAGCACAGTGCCTGGCAAGTGACAGGTGTTAAATAAATGGTAAGAATTATTTTTATGTTGCATATACTCGGTGTTTCTGCTACTAGAGTATGATCTAATGAGTATAATTGGATTATATTGTTTTGGTTTTTCCAAGCTGCTTTCTCAATCTTTTTTCTGAATGGTGTGATCTCAGGTTGAATGTTACTTTTATCACCTTTGTTTCCTAAAACATTTTTCCTATGAACCTTTTACTTACCTTACTAGACAGACAAAAAGCATTAATCAGAGACCCTGAAATAGTTTATCTCCTTAATTCTTCCCCATGCTTCCCAAAATTATTTTTAGAATTATTAAAATATTTTTCAAATGAGAAACATTTCACCGAGAAATATTTTTAAAACTACCTGTATTGTAAAACAATTTCTCTAATGAATATACTGTTTATTTTACATTTCAGTGGTTACATCTCTAAAAATAAAACATTTTTTAACTACAAAAAACATTCTACCAACTCCTCTGTTTTTGTAAGCAACATATAAAACCCATATAAAAACTGAGTTTTACGGTGTATCTCACTGGCTGAGCATAGACCCATGCACCAAGAGGTCGCCGGTTCAACTCCAGGTCAGGGCACATGCCCAGGTTATGGGCCCAGTCCCCAGTGGGGGGCATGCAGGCGGCGGCCAATCGATGGTCTCTCTCATCGATATTTCTATCCCTCTTCCCCTCTCCCTTCCTCTCTCTGAAATCAATAAAGAAAAAAAAATTAAAAACAAAACTGGGTTTTATATGTTTTTGTCCCATTTTTTCCAACTCTTCTCCCAAGTTTCTCTGTTAACCTCTAAATAAACTTAGGAAAGGTTAAGGAACCACTGTATGATGAACAATATTTTGATGGAAGCATTTAGTGCATATTTAGAAACAGCCAACATCAAAACTTATACATTTTTATTCCTTTATTGCCATTTTGCCTCTGTAGATGAGAGCAATAAGACAATCTTTTTAAGATGAAAATTTAATTTTTTTTTTCAATAACTTTACAAAGCTGATTTAACAAGCTTTAACAAGCTTCTGCCTCAGAAGAAAAGAGCCAGGGTGCTATAATTATTTTAGCTTAGCATTTTGGCTTCTTTGTGCCTGTAGTTGTTGGGACATTGAAGAGACGCTTCAAGAAGTACAGCTGCAGGATACCAGAAAGAACAATTACAAGGCTCTGGGCCATCGACCACCAGTTGACATAGTTATAGTTTGATTGGAGAAGGAAAAAGTCAGCCATTTTCCTCATGCGGGCAAAGTTGTAGTAACGCCACATGTGAAAGATATTTTTCTGTACCTTTCGTGTACTTTCCTGTGAGACAGACAATGAAATCAGGAAAGCACCCCCCCCACCCCCCACCCCACCCCGTGCAGCCTCACCTGGGTGCTCACCAGCACTAACCTAAGTTATCTGGAAATTGAATAACTTACATGATTTTATGATATGTAATATATTGTAGTTGTTGAGAAATGGTAGTTTTGCTGTACATGAAAAATGGTCTGGTCTTTAGGTTAAAAATTTTTTTTTAATGAAAAACTTCAATGTTGAAACTAGAGAACTCTTCCAGAGATCTCTTAATTTAGATATGTACTCAACACATTATTGTCTTGGGTGGTAGAAGACAAGGGCCTGCAAACTTATAGAGCCAGATAATATAGTAAATATTTTAAGCTTTGCAGGCCATTCAATCTCTTGCAACTACTGAACTCTGCCATTGTAGCACAAAAACAGCCATAGACAATATGTAATAGCCAATTGATAATGGCTATGTTCCAATGAAACTTCATTTACAAAACTAGGCAGTTGCCCAGCCGGTGTGGCTCAGTGGTTGAGCGTAGACCCATGCACCAAGAGGTCGCCGGTTCTATTTCTTCAGGGCACATGCCCAGGCTGTGTGCCTAACCCTCGGGGAGGGGCATGCAGGAGGCTGCCAATTAATGTTCTCTCTCATGATGTTTCTATCTCTCCCTCTCCCTCTCCCTCTCTCTAATATCAATAAAAAAAAAAAATTAAAAAACATGCCCTGGCCTGTTTGGCTCAGCGGTTAGAGCGTTGACCTGTGGACCAGAGAGACCCGGGTCCAGTTCCCACTAAGGGCACAGACCTCAGTTGCAGTTTGTCCCCGGCCCCAATTAGGTTTGTGTGGGCAGCAACCAGTCGATGTGTCTCTCACATCAATGTTTCTGTCTCTTCCTCCCTCTCTCCCTCCCACTCTATTTGAAGATAAATGCAGAGATATCCTCGGGTGAGGATAAAAAAACAAAACACAAACATTAAATAAAAAACAACTAGGCAGTGGACTTTAGTTCATCAAGTAGACTATTGTGAAAGTCAAAGACATCACACAGAATGGGAGAAAATATCTGTAAATCATATATCTGATAAGAAACTTATATCCAGAATATATATTATTTTAAAAACTTAAAGCTCAAAAATAAATAACCTAATTTTAAAGGGGACAAAGGATTTAAATAGACATTTCTCCAAAGAAAATATATAAATGGCCAAAAAGCACATAAAAAGATGCTCAATGTCATTAGGGAGACAACTCAAAATCACAAGGTCCCATTTCACACCCACTAGGGTGGCTAATAAGAAATATATGTTGTCCTGGCCGGTTTGGCTCAGCAGTTAGAGCATCTGCTTGCGGTTCGGTTCCCGCTAAGGGCACGTAACTCAGTTGCAGTTTGTCCTTGGTTGGGTCCTGCAGATGGTAGCCACTCTATGTGTCCCTTTCACTTCAATGTTTCTCTTTCTCTCTCTTCCTCTTTCTCCCTCCCACTCTATCTAAACAAACAAATGGAAAAATGTCCTCAGGTGAGGATAAAAAAAAAGATATGTTGATGCCTGGCTGGTGTAGCTCAGTGGCCCATGCAGGAAAAGGTCGCCAGTTCGATTCCTGGTCAGGGCACATGCCCAGGTTGTGAGCCCAATCCCCAGTGAGGGGCATGCAGGAGGCGGCCAATCGATGTTCTCTCTCATCAGTGTTTCTATCTCTCCCTCTCCCTTCCTCACTCTCTCTAAAATCAATAAAGAAAAAAGAATTAAAAAAAAGAAGAAAGAAAGAAATATATGTTGGTGAGGATGTGGAGAAATTGCAACTCTCATTCACTGTTGGAGTGTAAAATGGTTTAGCCACTGTGGAAAATTAGCAGTTCCTCGGTTATACAAAGTTTAACTATATGACCCAACACAGTACACTGCTATATATATACAGACATGAAAACAACTTTACACAAAAACTTATATGCAAATGTTCATAGCATTATTCATGATAGCCAAAAAATAGAAATAACCCACGTCTGTCAGGTGATGGGTAAATAATGTATATCTAGACAATAGAATATTATTCAGCCATAAAAGGGAATGAGATACTAATACATGCTACAATGTGGATAAGCCTTAAAAACACTAAATTAAAGGAGCCAGAGACAAAAGGCTACATTATATGATTTAACTCGTGAAATATACAGAATAGACAAATTTATAGAGACAAAACGTAGACGAGTGTGTGATTGCCCAGAGCTGAGAGGCATGGGAATGGATAGTGACTAGTGGGTATGGTGTTTCAAGGGGGTGATGAAACTTCTGGAATTAGATGCTGGTGACTATTGCAGTACCTTGGGAATGTGCTGAAAACCACTGAATGGTAAACGTTAAAATGGTGAATTATATCTACATTTAAAAAAACAAAACAGGCAGTGGGCCTGCTCTGGCCTATGAGCTCTCGTTAGCTACCCCTGGTATAAAACAAATGAGGAATTTCAAGAGCTCCAAGTCATAAAAATTAAAGACTTCAACTCTTTTTGCCAGTTTCATTTCTACCCAAATGAGTGCTTGGTTCAAATGATATTACTCCCATATTTTTAATCTTTTCTATAAATTTATTTTCTATAAATTTAAAATCAGTTTCCATGTATGTTTTTCTTCCACAAAACAGTTACCTCAATTGCATCCAGAGTGTCATTCAGTTGTTTTCTTTCATTCTTCTGTTTGTGGTCCACCTCAGGCCCTTCATAGAAGACTCCAAAATTGAGGTACACTTGCACAGAACCAAAGTGGTTTTGCTGATTTTTTAGACAAAGTTGATAAAAACCTGTAGGAATCCCTAGATCATTACCAAGTCTTAGTCTCCCACCTTTTGTTCATCTTCACCCTCTAGGTTTGGAGATGTCTGTTCTCCAGTGGTCAACGTGCTACTTTAGCACCTTCCTATTTAGCAAGTACAGAGATCCAGTTTTTGATGTGGAAGAAAGACACTGATCTTACATGAAACTTGTTACTAAATACTATTTATAATAATTATGTTTTACCAAATATTACTAACCAGTTCTATACTGAAAACAATGTTTCCTTCCTCTTTTTCAACCTATTATCTCTTATTAAGGAATTTCTCAAATTGAGATGAAATTAAGAGCTGGAGGATACCATCTTGAACTTACACTAGGCAAACATGGAAGTGTGAATGAAAGAAACTGTCCTGCTGGACTAACTAACTGCAAGGTGGTCTATACAGGGACCGGTGGTTTTGCGTATGTACTGGTGCTGGCTGCCAGTTGGGGTTGCCTCCCTTGTATATGTGGGAGTGGGGAGGAGTGGGATGAAAAACGTGTGGCAATGTATTTGTCAAAATGATTGGAGGACACTACTGGCATGGAGGGGACATAGATGCTAAATATCCTACAATGCTGAGTATCCTGTGCTATACAACGAAGGATTGTGTTATGCTCCTGAGAAGCATCTTTTTTTATTGTACACTTGGCTGATAGAGAAGGCTACTGACTGGTGCTGTCCAGGGTGGGGACAGGTTCAATCTGGCTGTAGGAATTTTCTGGTGACTGGAGAAATGCTTTGTTGTGGATTGTGGACATTTTTCATGGCCATGTTCTGAGTTTGCTCTATGTAACTGGCTCATGTATGCCAATGACTGGAAGGAAATGTCCCATTTCCCATAATAAATTTATTCATTGGAATTCTGTAGTATCTTAAATGAGTCTGTCTGTTTTGATTGCTTTCTCATATTCTAGTCAGTTGGAGATGAGATCAAATTGACCTTCTGGACCCTGGAGTTGTAATTAGTCATCTGGAGACTGTGCCCACACTGCCAGTGGACTGTCACTTGGCCATTGGTAGTCTCCAGCAACACTGGTTTTTGGTATTCTAGGCTACATTTTTTTCCTACTGTTTCACCATCCCTATGTGAAAAAGCCAGGGTTTTTACATTGTAGGTACTTAATTTCAATACTTCCTTACCATTTTTCCAATGTAAAAGAAACATGATTATTACGATAGCTGTGGTGATGAAAACAGACCTGTCTCTTGGGTAGAGAAGTTAATCTGGCCCCGAACATTCTGAGAGGTTTCTATGAGAAAACCCCGTGGGGTATGTGCAGTGGCAGCAATATGCCGGTCATGTGATATTCCCAGTGTCCGCTGAACCTGCCAAGACACATTAGAGAGGGAGAAAAGCCCCTGATACATCACCAAGAAGCTAGTTAAGTGGTAAGATTGACGTCCCATAAGGTTCTCATTCAGGGATAGTACTGCCCAACCCCTTCTGGGATTTGAATCGAGACAGCAGTGGTGTCTGGGTGGGTTGGGGAGGGACAGCAAAACTGAACATCCTGCCACGTTAGAAACAGTACTGCAGGACGAAGAATTGCCCCAAATGCCAATAGCACTCCTGTCAAGGCATGTCACAGGCCATACAGCAGGCATAGGTTGGTGTCTAAGAGTCTGGTTGTCAAGTTCTTGACTGAAGTAGCTTGGTTTTGAGCTCCCTGGTGTTGTCCTTGCACACTTGAGCTTATTTCATGCTTGACAGCAAATAAGGCACTCAATAGGCACTTATTGCCAAGCTGGGCCTTTTTTTTTTTAATACTCACCCGAGGATATTTTTACATTTATCTTCAGACAGAGTGGGAGGAAAAGAGAGAGAGAGACATCGACGTGAGATAGACACATCGATTGGTGGCCATCCACATGACCCCATCTGGGGCCTGGGACTAACTGCAACTGAGGTATGTGCCCTTGACTAGAATCAAACCCGGGACTCCTTGGTCCGCAGGCCAGGGCAATCTTTTATTTTTTTATTATTTATTTATTTTTTTTTTTATCCTCACCCGAGGACATTTTTCCATTTTTTGTTCAGATAGAGCGGGAGGGAGGGAGAGGAAGAGAGAGAGAGAGAAACATCGATGTGAAGAGACACATCGAGTGGCTGCCACCCGCACGACCAACCAGGACCGGGGACAAACCGCAACCGAGGTACGTGCCCTTAGCGGGAACTGAACCCAGGTCTCTCTGTACCGCAGGCCGACGCTCCAACCGCTGAGCCAAACCCGCCAGGGCCAGGGCAATCTTTTAAAAAAATTTTTTTTAAAAATTGGTTTTAGAGAGAGTGAGGAAGGGAAAGGAAGAGAGAGAGAAACATCGATGAGAGAACATCAATTGGCCACCTCCTGCATGCCCCCCACTGGGTATTTGGCTCACAACCTGGGCATGTGCCCTGACCAGGAAACGAACCAGCGACCTCTTGGTGCATGGGTCGACGCTCAACTACTGAGCCACACTGGCCAGACCCAAGCTGTGTCTTAATAAGCCCAGGCTACAGTGAGAGCTGACTATAGCTACTCTTCTATCACAATTGAGAGAAAAGAAAAAGCTCTGATAAGTTAATTTAAAATGTGTTTTTCAAAATGAGTTTTTATTGTTTTTAGAGAAAGAAGGGAGAGGGAGAGGAGAGAAACATCTATTGGCTGCCCCTTGCGTGCCCCCTACTGGGGGTCAAGCCTGCAACCCAGGCATGTGCCCCGACCAGGAATCCAACCAGCCACCTCTTGGTGCATGGGACTGTGCTCAACAAACTGGGCCACACTGGCCAGGGCTAAAAGAAGTTTTAAGATACAGTGGAGTGGAATAAGTTCAGTATACATAATCTATTACTATGTAAACAAAATTAGAAAGTTAACAGGTCTCTAAGATAAAGAACAAAGGAAATGAACTGCCTCTAACTTCACTACTGAGCAGACCACCCTTGGGCCCTGTGATATGAGACTGGAGGATGGATGAAAGTACCTGGCCTGGGAAGAAGCAACTTGAAAACATTTCCCTTCCTAACACAAACAGGACTGTCTGGCGGAATAGAGAAATCTTGAACTAGTGATTCTCCAGTTTGCCAGAATTACCCCTAAAGGCAAGAGAGTAATTGTTATTCTTCCAACCCCATAAACTGAACTGTCTTTTTGAAATCTCTGGGTATGTTTCTGAAGTTCATGTGACTTTCCATACCTATATTAATATTTTTAAAATGTATTCTCTCCCCTCTCATCTCCAAATCCAAGTAAATGTGACGATTATTTCTCCAGGAAGAAGCACCCTTTGTCCCATGGCTTTGAGCACACTTCCATAGCCCCCAGTTTGAGAAGCTAAGCCATATGTTTTAGTGATTATTCATCCACCGAGTTTCCATCTAACTGCAGGTTCATTTCATTAATAGGTAGAGAATCACAGCATAATAAATACAACCAGAACCTCATGTTAGTCTAGAACTTGATCCACTTTACAAAAGGAAACAACAACAAAAAGCCCCCCATATGGCCAGAGGAGCCTGAGTACCTACCTCATAACTGAAATAGAAGTAGCCAGTCTGGTGGGCAAATTGCCAAAAGCATTCTGTGCCTCCTGGAGGGATCATGATGGCAAAGTCATATCGATCTTCTCCCCGGAAGAGTGGCTGGTCCCCAGAGCCACTAAGGGGTTCTGTCTTCTGGCTCCTAGCAGAGGTCCCTAGGCTCAGAACCACCAATCCAGCCCCAAGGATAAAAAGGAACATGCTGATTCCTAGAGACTCCTCTGCAGGTGAACTGCCTGCAGCCCAGTGGAACCAAGTAGTTTAGATCACTAATCATTAACTCCACAATTCACTCTTGGGCCAGTTTCAGGGCCACACATAGATATTCCATAATAGAACTGGCATGATACCCCCATGCTTGGCTCACAGGAGAGTTTTGCTTTTACTTAAAAAACTCACTGGTGCCCTGGCCAGTTTGGCTCAGCAGTTAAGAGTGTCGGCCTGTGGTCCAGCAAGACCCAGGTTCGGTTCCCGCTAAGGGCACGTACCTCGGTTGCAGTTTGTCCCCGGCCCTGGTTGGTCATGCGGGTGGCAACCACTCAATGTGTCCCTTTCACATTGATGTGTCTCGCTCTCGCTCTCGCTCTTCCTCCCACTCTACCTGAACAAAAAATGGAAAAAATGTCCTCGGGTGAGGATTAAATAAAAAAAACTCAGTGGTGCCCTGGTCGGTTAGAGCGTTGGCCTGTGGACCAGGGAGTCCTGGGTTCGGTTCCCACTAAGGGCACGTACCTCAGTTGCAGTTTGTGCCTGGCCCCGGTTGGGGTCGTGTGGGTGGCAGCCAGTAGATATGTCTCTCTCACATCTATGTTTCTCTCTCCCTCCTGCTCTATCTGAAGATAAATGCAAAAATGTCCTTGGGTGAGGATAAAAAACAAACAAACAAAAAAACTCAGTGGTGGCCCTGGCCGGTTTGGCTCAGCGGTTGGAGCGTCAGCCTGTGGACCAGAGAGAGTCCCAGGTTCAGTTCCCGCTAGAGGCATGTACCAAATAAATAAATAAAGTGCTTTCTCCTGTGGGATAAATGACCAACCTGGGGAAAAAAAAAATAAAACTCAGTGGCTTACCAAATTTACTTAATGGGTGCTAGATAGAATCTACTAACTACGTCAGAAGAGGTATTTATTTCCATCCTTCCTTTTAGCTGTCATTTTTCAGTTCTTGTTTCTTGGGGATAAATATTGAGTAAGTTTATTTACAACCATCTGAATATACAGACAGAAGTTGGCTGGGGAGACTTTTCTCTTATGATCAAATTGCTAGATGGTATCTATTGCTCCAATAAGACACATGGGGCAACATCTGTTTCAATGGATTTCTTTCTGCCCAATGCTATAGTTTAGAGAACAAAGTACATGAAAGCGTGTGCAAAAATTTAAATGGATTACCCAGCTGGTGTGGCTCAGTGGTTGAGCGTCAACCCATGCACCAAGAGGTCGCCAGTTTGATTCTGGGTCAGGGCACATGTCCAGGTTGTGGGCCAAATCCCCAGTGTGGGGCATGCAGGAGGCAGCCAATCAATGTTCTCTCTCATAGATATTTCTCTCTCTCTCTCTCGAAAATCAATAAAGAAAAAATAATAAACATTTACTTGATATAATTTTTTTTTTTTTAATGGACGAAGAGTGAGCAAGTGACAGAAATGGACATTCAGAGATTCCAGTGGCTGGCTCACCATCCCACTAGCACAGGTGGCACAGCAGGGGCCCTGAGTGGGCCTTGCACTCTTACCCACCAGGACAGTGTTTCTGTCAGTCTGAGTCATGCCAATATCTAAATGTTTTTATTTCCACCATAATCTAAAAAAACAAAGCAGCATTAGCAGCTTCTAACCAAGTCTTGCTTCAGATTCATCACATTGACCTCAAGTAGTAGTACTTGAACTATCAAAAGCTAACAAGCAAAGACTTAATCATTTTCCATTCTAGAGGAGACCAAATGTCACAGCACTCTGCAGCAGTCTCGCTAAGGTGGAGGTGGGAGAGACTAGGGTCATAACTCAGCACACAGTGGCACGGGCACCCCTACCGAGTCCCACCGCCACAGTTTTCACACTAATGTGAGTAGTGACTTAGATTTAGCAAAACAGTCAATAGGACACAGTAAGTTTGTTTAATAGTTCTCTAGAAGCCACAGGCTGTTTTTAGGTTGTATAGATTTCAGTAACACTATAACACTGAAGTTTTGTTTAAAAATGTTAATGGCCCTGGCCAGTTTGGCTCAGTGGTTGGAGCGTGAGCCTGCGGTACAGAGAGACCCGGGTTCGGTTCCCACTAGGGGCGTGTACTTCGGTTGCCGTCTGTCCCCGGCCCTGGTTGGGCCGTGCGGGTGGCAGCCACTCGATGTGTCCCTTTGACATCGATGTTTCTCCCTCTCTCACTTCCTCTCTCTCCCTCCCGCTCTATCTGAACAAAAAATGGAAAAATGTCCTCAGATGAGGATAAAAAAAAATGTTAATGAACCTGTGTATTTTTCAAATTTAGGAAACACTGATTAGTATATTTGGCTTCCCTAAATGCATCACAGTGTCTCTCTTCTACCCAGAGAGCGCCCTATCAATGAAGTGAGAGTTAGGGAGAAAAGCTTCTGGAGCCGAACCCAGTTGAGAGGGAGACCACACTAGGTGCAACCAGATGAAGAGGAGGCGGCTGTATTGAGAGATCACGTTCTCACTGTAGTTTCATTTGGGGTTAATTGACAGAAAAACAACAGTACCAAAACATGTAGTTAATAGGTAATAAAGCTGTACAAAGTTTCCAACTTATAACTACAGGATGAATTTGAAAACTTTAGCATTTCTTTACATCTTGCACTCAAAAGAGAAAAAGGGTTCGACATAGCTTCCAAGGATTAGAATATCCAATACAGATTGACATCAGCTTTTTAACAATCAATGTAGTTTAGCAAAATTTGTTTAACATTTTGCTACCTCCATGTGTTCATACATGCTATGCTGCAATTAAACAGCTACTTAAATTTGAGAGAAGCAAGACTTTAATGAAGAATGCTACAAGTTATGGACAGTAATTAGTTCTCAAATTTTAAAAAATGATTACAGAAAACACTTTACTGAAATTTTTTTTTGCTAAAAAGACAGTCTTTAAGGATGTCCAAGAGAGACAACAAGCACAATACGGTACAAAAGGAGAAGGAAATGTTGAATTCCAGTGCAAGACACTAACACAGCACAATTAGGGAATCAAGTGGAAGCAACCATTTCACAAAGAATGGAATTAGGCATTTATATTCAATCAGGATTTTTTTTAAGCCTTAAAAGTCCAGCATAAGGAAGGGAATTGGGAAGAGTGAATGGGGGGAGGGGCTAAGCATATCTACAATCACCAAAAAACACACTGGTTCAACCACATGAGAAGTGGAGGTTAAACCTGCCTACGTAGCCCAGCTAATATTAAGAGCAAATGCCAAGACTAGGTCTAGGTGTTGATGTCACAACAGGCTAAACAGTTTTTAAAGGGACCCCGATTCCACCAGGACTGGTCTCTTATCAGCCTGGGCTCACGACAGAAGAAGTTTCTTTGCATTTGCACCAGAAGGCCAAAGCTTTATCTGGATCAAGTTCACTCCAAATAATGCTCATGTTGCTGGCTTTAACAGGTCATGGAGTCACAGTGCTCCTAACAGACTCCACCATTTCCTAGGAGAAGGTTCTACTGATTACCGGGGATTTAAATTCAAGCAAACCACTGCAGAAGGGAAATACTAGTGATATTCTGGCACTGTACAAGCTGTCTGCCTGTTGTCTCTGCCAAGGACATGGGGTAGACTTGGCTTTGTCTTTCAGCTCCATGATCTTCAACAGTGATGAAGTGGAATTGGGACCTCCCCCATATCAGAGGAGGATGCCCAAAATTTTCATCCCAGCCCAGCTTCTGAAAGAAAGAGCAGACTATCGGGGCTATTATTAGGAACCATGCTCCTGTGACTTCTGTGGAAATGAAAGCTTGTTTCAGTTCATGCCAAGTCTTTTCATGGTCCGCCAGCGATCCTTAATCATCACAGCTGTTCGGTTAATAAATGGGTAATTTTTAGAAATGGCAGCCCAGTTTCCTTCCCCAAATTTCTGCACTCCAGCCTTGATCCACTCGCTTTCTTCTATAGTCCACTTCTGCAAAAGAAAACCAAAAGATTTATCATAACCGGTCTCTCCACTTATTCACATTTTCATACAGTGAAGAGGTAAATGCAAGAATCCTAGGAGAATAACCCGAACCCAAAGAAAGGGTTTATATTTTTAAAACATGATGTAGATAATAAAGTAACACTGGATTTAGACATTTAAAATTTTCAATGTCCTGCTATTTCATCTTCAACTAATAATCATTTCTGCATTCCAACTTCAAACATGTGTGTTGTTCATGGTCAGGAAAATGTGTCAGATCTCTGTCCAGCTAGATTTTTTTGTCCAGAGTATAACTACAGTAAGTCCTCACTTAATGCGACTTGAAACGAAATGACATATAATAAAACCAGTTTTACTTATAAACAAGAGTTAAATTTTTGCAGCATCTAATCAACATTATAACAAAATGACACTGAACAATAGGATGCTATTCAAGGACCTGCTGTATTTAACTTAGTGTGGATCATCAGAAAAACGCAAACAATTTTTGCCAGGTGCATGGGGGTCAATCTGTTCTATTTTATCTCTGTTCTACCCCCACAACCAGAATAGATCAGAAAAGAGAGTTTTAAGTTACCTGCTTTTTTGTTACATTGGTTGTACTCTCTTCATCTTGTGCAGCTGGAAAACATTAAAAGCAGACTCATTTCAGAGTTCACCTTTCTCTGCACAGACACCAGAAAAAGACATAGAACATCTCTAAAGGGAAAGCTTGATTCAAATTTCACAAACTTTGAGAGAAGAAAGGAGCCCTGGCCAGTTTGGCTCAGCTGTTAGAGCGTCGGCCTGTGGTCCAGAGAGACCCGGGTTCAGTTCCCGCTAAGGGTACGTACCTCGGTTGCAGTTTGTCCCCAGCCCTGGTTGGGTTGTGTGGGTGGCAGCCACTCAATGTGTCCCTTTCACGTTGATGTTTCTCTCTCTCTCTCTCTCTCTCTCTTTCTCTCTCTCTCTTCCTTTCTCTCCCTTCTACTATATCTGAACAAAAAATGGAAAAATGTCCTCAGATGAGAAAAAAAGAAAAAAAAAGACTACCAGAGAAAAGAAAGGAGATCACTAAAGGATAATTTGTTTTTGTCCTTTGTTTGCAAGATACCAATCATGAAAATCTGTACAAAACAAATATTTTACATAAAGGCATTCAATAAACATTGGTTAAGGATGGATTTTAGGCTCTTTAATAAAACTAACATTTTCTAAATTACTGAGGGACTGTGGTATTTAAAACCCTAATATATACACGTTTATACACATATAATTTCTGCGTTATAACCTCTTGTTAACCACTGTTTTGAAATAACAGTTTTACTGTTTCACTCCAGAATTTCCAAATCCCTGATCATTTTATATAAGAAAAATTAGGCTCGCCCAGATGGTGTGGCTCAGTGGTTGAGAGCTGACCCATGTCCCCAGTTCAATTCCTGGTCAGGGCACATGTTCAGGTTGTGAGCCCAGTCCCCAGTAAGGGATATGCAGGAGGCAGCCAATCGATGGTCTCTCTCATCGATGTTTCTCTCTCCCTCTTCCTCTTAAAAAAAAAAAAAAAAATCAATAAAAAGAAAAAAAAAATTAGGCCCAATTCCTTAAAAAAAGAATGGGATAATAATTACAGCTTCCCACACCAACAGACTATGTGAGATCTGCTCAAGCTCCACCCTCTCACCATATGGAAAGAGATTAGGCCTCAAAAAACATGGACCAAGATAATTTTTTAAAGGAGGCTATACAAGTATAAAAGACATGCCATTTCAAGCCAACGAGAGGTAATTAAAAAGCTGCAAGAAAAGGCAAAGTTGCATAAACATGAAACTGGCTAGAAATCTCAGTAGATGCAACTGTCCTAGCAGCATATCCTAAACAATGGAGGAAGATGGCTCAGGAGCATATTATTTATTTTAAAATTATGAAGTATTTCATACTATAGGGAAGCATATTTCTAAAGATGATCAATCTGGACTGCATTGGAAGTAGCTGTTTCCTAGAACTTTTATATGCTGTTGTTTTTAACTATTTAATGCAACTGTTACTGATTTTGTTACTTCTCCCTTTCCTCTGTGATCTTGATCTTGGTAACCATGTTTCTGCCACTGAAGGTACATTTTAATTTTTTGTAGACAGAGTGGGAGGGAGACATAAGAGAAAAACATAGATGTGAGAGACACATGACTGGCTGCCTCCCACATAACCCTGACCGGGGCTGGGGATTGAACCTTCAACCGAGGTATGTGCTCTTGACCGGGAATCAAACCAATGACTCTTTAGTCCATGGGCCGAGGCTCTAACAGCTGAGGCCAGGGCTGAAGGTTATTTTTAAAGAAAAAACCTTAGAATCTCCAAAATTAAGGTTTAGCACTTAGATATTTCCATTAGAATATAAAATACGTGGTGGGAGATTCTAATGCAAATGCTATAAAGTTCAGTAATAATTATGAAAAAGCAATGTTTCTTATCTTAGAAAAAAATATGTAGAAACTGGTAAGATATTTTTTACTTAAACAAAAATGCAGGGAATGACCATTTCTACCTTTTCTAATTAAAAGCCTTTAGGAACAACATCAACTACAACTAAAGACAGGATTTATTACCACAAAACCAGGACTTTTCCTTAAATACAAAGTGCTACTTTGACAGTCTCCACTGTTTCATGGGAAAGGACATATACTGACTCCTTGTGAGTCACAATGAAGAACTGATTAAACTTTTTCTAGTTGGGAGACAAGCAATTTCTGGAACACTGATGTGGCTGGTACCATGCATCTTACTCAGCAAGGTCAAGGAGAGCCCAAGGAGAATCTCCTAGCTTACCCTGAACATCAAACAGTTCGTCCTCTTCTACCCAAGTCTCTTTTTCTTCAACCCCATTAGAATTGTTCCACTTGCCTTTGGGTAATCTGAGGAGAGATCAATGAAAGGACAAGGTTTTATAAAACAAAGTCATCCTGGGTCATCCCATATTCTGTCCTTGGCTCATTTGCAGCCCTACATTTCTTGTTGTTCTGCTGTGACCACATTCAAGATTCACATACACACAACTCCCAAATCCTGACCTGGCCTGGTATCTCCAAGTCATCATCCCCCAGGCTCAGCACCGACTGCATATATCACCATCCCTGTCAAAATATTATTTCTAAGGCTGTCTGGTTATTTTGAAAATGAGTAGTGAAAGCAATTTGCTTAATAAGTGCATAGGCTTGAAACAAATTCGAGTTGCATCAGTTTTCTACAAAATTACCTAATTAAGTGGCTATTTCTGAATTGGATTATATTCCCAAAAATGTTATTTCTCTGAATAATTAATTTGAGACAAAGGATCTTAGCTGTGTTAATTATTATTTATAAATAAAAGTCAGACTATGTAAGTTTTCTATCTACTTATCCTAGTGCTGGGATAAACTGATTTGACTCTCTAGGTCTATCATTTTCACCCGAGTACTGTAGACTCTCCCTGCAGACAGTCTTTGCAGATCAGGGATAACACCATGGTCCTCCTCTGAACTTGGCTTTTATTACTTGTGCATGTTTTGATACTTCTCAATTTCTCATGTTGTGGAAGGGGCTGAGATCTGGGGCCTCATCCCGTTAGTGGCTGTGTGCTCCCAGGCAAGTCAGGTCGCTTCCTGGTGCTTGCACTCCTCACTGGTAAACTTAGAATTTGATGGGCAGTGGTCTACAGGGGTCAGCAAACTACAGTCTGTGGCTCCTTCTTGATTTTTCAACAGCCCTTGAGTAAGGAATGAATTTTACATTTTCAAAGGGTTGTAAGGAAACAAAACAAAACAAAAAAGAATATGCAACAGGCACAGAAGTGGTCCAAAAGCCTAAAATGTTAACGTTTTGCTGGCCTTTTATAGAAGTTTTGCATGTGATCTCTTAAATTGCAAAAACCAATAATTATTTTATTTGGTTAATAAGTACCTAGTAAGCACTTGTTCAAGCCAAGTGCTGTGGGGAACATAAAAATCTAGTAAATCATGGCCCTACCCTCCAGGCGATATACCCTAATCCAGCCTTCCCCTCCTCTTCTACTGGCCCAGCTTCTCCCAGATCCTAACTGCTCCCCTGGCAGCAGGGTCTAGTCACCCTCCTTCTCTCCTTTCCCTCAGTGCCTATTCAGAACCCTCAGTGGTGTCTCATCAGACCTTCAGATTAGTTGGGTTAGAATTATTTGGAGCATAGTTACAAAAGCAGATTACAGAGCATCCCACGGCCCCTTCTAATTCAGTACTCAGGAATCTGGGAATATGTATTTTTTAAACATTCCATAGATAACTGTGATATGAAGCCTAGTTTGAGAACCTCCACCTGATAGAATACAATAGGAACTCAAGTTCTGGCCCATATACCCATCCAGACTTTTCGCCCTTCATCCTCTCTGTGCATTGTATTCTCCTGCTATGTAGACTACATGTCATTTTTCAGAGCATATCAGGCTTTCTCATGCCTTTATGCAAGGGGTTCCTGCTGCTTAGACACCCCCCCCACCCCTCGCCCTGCATATGCTTGATGACCTCTCACTTATCTTTCAAGGCCAGCTCAACATTTGCTCCTCTGCAAGGCTTGCTCCACCAACTCTGCTGAGCAGGCTCAGCTCTTCTTCCCTGGAGCTCCCAGGGCCCCTTATACACACTTCCTTTAGAGCTGGGGTCATGGGATCCCTTCTCTGTAAGGGCCAGATAGGATCTTCAGCTCTGCAAGCCTTACTGTCTCTGTTGCAACTACTCAATTCAATGTAGCATCAAAAGTAGCTACAGACAATACATAAATGATAGGTGTGGCTGTGTTCTAATAAAACTTTATTTACAAAAATAGGCAGCCAGCAGATCAAGCTCAGGGGCCATAGTGTCCCAATCCCTGCTTTAGAGTATCCATCATACTCCATACCCTTGGCACATGAGAGAGGTAATTAATCATGTCTGAAACCTCCAAAAATCCTCCCATTAGTAAAACCACTGTAATCATGCATTCTCCAGTTTTCTCATGGGGCGATACCTACACTTCACAGGATCACTGTAAGGAGTCAAGGAGATCATGTATGGAACAAGAATAAGTGTGTTGAGCTGCATTTGCTTGCCCAGCCATGACTCAATCACTTCCAAATGCAGGTAGTGGTGCATACAGTGCAGACAGATTAGTGCCTCAGTATGAGTCACTTAACAGATGCCATAGTCCCACAGGGCACCTAGCACATGCTGCCAGAGCACAGGTCCCCAAACAACAAAGAGCAATGGTAGAGATGGCAATGGCCTTGGGAGACCAGTGAGGTGATCACTTACAGCAGGGTGATCAGGGGAGATTCATGGGAGGAGGCAGGAGGCAGAATTTTTAAGAGGCAGCCTGCTGTGAGTGGTTTACAGGCTATGGGCATGTGTCCAGACTGACCTGGATTAATAATCCCAAAGCCCAACTCTGCCACTTTTCAGCTGTGTGACTTAAGGCCAGTTAATAACTTTTCTGAACCTTCCTCATTTACAAAATAGGGCTAATAATATATCACCGAAGATTGTAGAGATTCAGTAATATAACACATGAATGTACTTGGCCCAAGAAAATGCTTCTCTTCCCTTTGAAGAATGGATAGGATTCTGACAAGCAATGATGGAGGGATGATAGTCCAACTGTGGGGAATGACAGCGAGCAAGAATACAGTAGAAACAAACACAGCATGTTCCAGAGAGAGCAAGCAGACCAGTTTGCCTGGAGGAAGGATCCATAAGAGGGCACAATGGGGAGCAAAACTCGAGAGCCAGGTTGGGGTCATGATGGGGAGCAAAATAAAAGCATTCTAACTGCTGCTCCACAGAACCTAAGAGAATGTGAGAGATTAGTAAATATATGAAATTTGCCAGTTTCAACAGCTCATAGAAGGTGCAAAACTGTAAATATTCATAAATCTCTAGTTAGTGTCAGAATTCTGCTAAGAATGAAAGCAGCAATGAGCAGGAGGCTCTCAAACCCTCCCATCCTCACTCATGCCCTAGTGTACGCCTGGAAGCCCACATGGGGGGCTTCAGAACTCGCAGGGATGACTATGTCGTCACTCCCCACTCCTGAGTCACATTCTAGCAGTCTGAGCAAGCCTCGGTGGAGAATAACTTAGTTGAAAGTTACTTCATTCACAGAAGCAATACCAGGCCCAACCAGGCCCACCAACCAGCCCCCAAACTCCTACAAAGAAGGTCTTCATACTTGGGATTCTTCTCCCTAGGGAGGGGTTGGTTGAGAACCGCAGGCTTGGACGGTGATGCTGGAATGACTTCCTGAGAGGAGTTGAGGCTTGGGCTCAGCTCAGTACTCTGACTATCCTCCTCCAAAACCAATCTGCTTATTGTCATACGCTTGTTCTTGGGCTGCAGTTCAGAGCCACCCTCTCCCTCAGCAGACGCTGAACCTTCGTTTTCATCTTTTCTCGGTCTCTTGTTTTTGAGGGCTGGTGATGGTGGGGATGCTTTATTAGGAAGTACCAGATCTTTCTGGTCCAGTTTTGAGAAGACCGCCTCAGAATCTTGTGAACCGGACAAAGTCTTAAAAGCTGCTTTCAGAGTCATAATTCCAAAGGTGGTTGGAGTATTCCGTAGCTGCCTACAAATAAGGCAAACATACAAAGATCAGTTTCACCACTGATGATGTTCATATTAGCAGAGAACTCCTCAAATGGAGGATTTTTCATTAAAAAAAAAGAGAGAGAGGTTGCTTGATACAACCTTTATTTACAAAAGCTTCCATTTAAGTTGAACTATGGAGTTTAAACTCCAAATCAGAGAACCTTAAAGGAAGTAGGGCCAGGATACTCCCTCCAGAGACCTCTTTAGCCTGTATGCGGTTGAACCTGTTAGTCTGTATGAACTAAAGCTGTGACTAATAAATACAAGTCCATCTGAACAACCTACTGATAATCCAGCAATTTTTTAAAAACGTTTTTATTAATTTTTTAGAGACAGAGGAAGAGAAAGAGATAGAAACATCAATGTGAGAGAGAAACAGTGATTGGCTACCTCCTGTACGCCCCCCACTGGGGATTGAGCCTGCAACCGGGGCATGTGTCCTGACTGGGAATCGAACCAGGACCGCTCAGTTCACGGGATGATGCTCAATCCATTGAGCCACACTGGTCGGGCCAGCAATTTCACCTTGAAGTCCAAACTCTTCTTCTAGCTGTTCCAGTCCAACCCTCATGTGACAAAAATGAAAGACCGGTCCTCATTCTGCCCATTTTCTCCTACAATACACTTGTAAATGGGATCTTGAGAATTCTCAGAGTAAGAAGTGCACCACACAGTCTTGGAACAGAGAAAATGCCCTTTCAAAATAAAGTTCATCTATCGTTTGGAATAGCTAGTATGCTTTAAGTTAAAACTGTTAGGAGAGGGCAAGTTGGCAGCCTTCAGGCCAAACCCAGCTGGCAGATGACTTGTTGCCTAACCTATGCAAGTTGTTTTTTTTAAACCAGATAACCACCAACATTCAAAAACTGGGAAAGCTTTAAAAAAAAAAAAAAAAAAGGATGTTTTACATAAAAATTTGAACTGAAGCTTGGAAATCCTTGGACAGTTTCACACAGCAAGAATCACACAAGACGGAAACGCATACCCTCTCTGGCTCCCAGTACCATGCCCTCACCTATCCTAGACCCACTTCATTCCTTCACATTTCCTACCAGGCCCCCAAAGCATCTACATTTGTGACCCGTGCTTTCACAGATGGTCTTGGGAATCTGATTCACAAGTCTGAACACAGTATTAAGAGATCAGGTATCAACAAGGAAGCGCAGCGTAGTTATGGGTGAGATAGAGACAGGAGGAAAGAACCTTTGAGGGATAGCCAGTCAGGAACTTCTGTCAGGGATCTGACATCCAGTCTTCAATGCTCTCATTTTCCCAGGGTGTGCTCCCACAGTGCCTTGTATGAGTAATCCAATAACATGTTAGGAGGTCAAATCACCAGGAGGAACTAACTGATCTTGTTCTAAGGAGGAGACTGTGTTTCCAACAGACCACCCACCCCAGTGTTTCACCCAACATCATAAGAGGGGATCCTTCTCACCTCACGGGTTCTCTGGGTGGCTTTTCCACAGGCTCTGGTGCTGGCTGTTTATCTTCCTTCACTGTAGTTGAGGCAGCAGACTCAGATTTCAGAGCCTTTTTGGCCATCTAGGAAAGGAAGGATGTCATCAGGAAGAAGCCACAGAATTTCATTAATTCTCTGCTTCTTTAACCACGAACATATTCAATATGCAAACATGTTCATCTACAAATCCAATCTAAGCATAAACTAGAGGACATAAAAAGAAAAAGAATTCACAAGAATGACCTCAAATGTTTTCTTTTCTTTTTCAAAAAATGGCTCACAGTTTCTATGCTAAAGGAGAACTCAATTTGAATAGTGCTAACCATTCTGACAAAGCAAAAACTCTTTAATAATTATGTGATTTTGCTCTGGCTCAGTTGGTTGGGCATCATCCCATGCACCAAAAAGGTTGCCAGTTTGATTCCCAGTCAGGGGACATGCCGGATTGTGGGCTCAATTCCTGGTGGGGGGCATGCAAGAGGCAGCCAATTGATATTTCACTCTCACATCAATGTTTCTCTCTCTCTCCCTAAATATCAATAAAAATATTTGAAAAAAATAATTATGTGATTTTACTTCACATTTCCTCTTTTACACTTCCAATCTCATTCCTAATCTAGTTTCTGAATCCCCAAAACACCTTTGGGGACATATATAAAAGTCAAACTTTTTTTCCCCCAAACTTATGATAACTAATGTTTATATTAATATCTTTTAGTGTATAGAATTTTTTATGACTGTATTTCCACAAACATGTTTTGCCTTTTAACAACTGTGAAAATCCTTACTTATACCACATAAAGCCCCGAGTAGGCCAGTCTTGCTCTAACTCCAACCGCTCATTTGTCTCCCTCTGACTGAAGTTTTATGCATTTTCAATCAGTCCCGTATAGTCAATAGAGGAAAGGGTCCAGGCCAGTCTCAAGTATCTTGACACTTGCTTCTTGATTATTACAAACTATCTGCTTTACAAACAATTGGAGATTTGCTAAATGACTGCCACGATCACTGGCACTCCCCTAATAGAGGCCCTGAACATCTACTGTTATGAGCCATATTTTCAACACTCACAGTCCTGGTTTAATAAAAACCCTCTCACTCACTTTTCCCTTACCACCACCCACCTTCTAGGCCAGACTAGGTTCTAATTCTTCTACAAACTGTCTTGAGCCTCATTGTTTCCTTTTATGTTTATCTCTTTGATCCAATTAAAGAATGTCTTCAGCCCTGGCCAGTTTGGCTCAGCGGTTAAAGCGTCGGCCTGCGGTCCGGAGAGACCCGGGTTCGGTTCCCGCTAAGGGCACGTACTTCAGTTGGTTTGTCCCCGGCCCTGGTTGATCGTGCAGGTGGCAGCCACTCGATGTGTCCCTTTCACGTCGATGTTTCTCTCTCTCTCTCTCTCCCTTCCTCTCTCTCCCTCCCACTCTATCTGTACAAAAAAATGGAAAAATATCCTCGGGTGAGGATAATAAATAAATAAATAAATAAATAAACAAACAAACAAACACTACATGCATTTAAAAAAAAAAAAAAGAATGTCTTCATTTGGCCTCTGCCTTATACTTCTTCTAGTCATACCTTTTCTCCAGTTATGCCTTCTTCCTGTTAACAACCCCATCATACCACATCTAATAAACCACTCTTCCTCCCAAATTTAACTCAAATTTCATCTCTGGGAACCACTATCACTTGTAAGATGAATGTTCTCCTGCTTTAACCACAACGGATTAATCACATGTAGAGGAAGTAAAAATGGGAGGTAAGGGAGACCAGCTTTGTTCCATTTGTCTCTATCAGGATATCTGCTTCTGTATATTGAAGGCATTTAATTAAGGAAGATAGTACGTATAATTCAAAGTCTGTTCTACACATTCACTCTTTCACTTCTAAAAAAAGCTGTCCTTTTCCAAGTGCCTGCCCATCCTCAAGGCCATATCATGGTTATGAAAAGAGAAGGCCAAGGCCAAGGCACACCGTGAGGAGGTAGGGCTCTGCATCATCCAGATGACTCTCCAGGAAGCGTAGCATCTTCTGCTGGAAGGTCTCATAGGAAAAGTTCTGGATAACAGGGTGGGCCAAATTCTTTTCACGGATAATGTTCAGGAGATCATTTCTCAGCTTCTATACAAAGGACCAATATTGGCAACATGAGAAAGGAGAACTCAAGTAAAAATTCAATGTTGACAAGCTGAGACAATACTATCAGAAATTTCACAACACTCAATGAAAATCACTGGCACACATACTGGAAGGGAAGCACACCACAAAGGATGGGTCAATAAATGAAGGATCAGCCACAGTGAATCACTATGCAGCTATAAAATAATGATGAACTTAGGATCGAAAGTGCCTTTATACATTCACATAAAGATTTTTAAACTTAAAAAAAAAAAAATCCCCAAACACAAAAAGGATAAAAAACCTCTTTGTTAATATAGAATGATCTCCAAGATACAGTAAGTGAAAGAAGCAATTTAAAAAAATACTCAAATTAATATGTAGAATATTCTCACATATGTATATGGAAAGAACAGAAAGAATAGATATATGTGTATGTTTGTATATATACACACATGCATACTTATTTGCTTGCATATACACAGAATATCTCTGAAAAGATAAAAGCAAAAAATACTTGTTGCCTCTGGAGAGGAATGAGATGTCTGAGTCAGAGATAATTTTCACTAAACTCTAGTTGTACTTCTTGAATTTTGCATTATGTATGTATATTATTATTTTTAAACGAAAATGTAAAGGATAAAACAACAAGAGGAGGGTATCAACAGAGCTTTGACACCAGAAAAGAGAGGAGTTAGTCCTTACAAAGGCAGATTCTCAAGTATACAGGATCAGCATTTGTGTAAGTAAAGTTAGAAGTGTTATAAAACTTGATAGCTTGATACCTGGTGCTGATCACTTAAATACAGTTCTGTCACAAACCAGACAGAAATGGACAAGTAAATGACTTATATAAATAAAAAAATAAAAAATTTAAAAGCCAATCTAACAGCAAGTTATCTTGAATATAAAAGACAACATGCTAAAGGTGCTGAATATTTAAAGATGAATACTTAAATAACATTCCTAACAAAGAACCCTGTCCCTGTTTTCCCACAAAAAACAATGAAATGGAGTTAAGTCTTAGGAGCAAAATATCAAATTTACCTGAGTTGTGGGGTCCTTGGACATATGTTTTTTCAAAATTTTTGAAGCTTTTTCAAATTCTTTATTTTTGATACAAATTATGACAGCCTACAAAACAGGAGGAAAAAATCTTCTTTTAACTGTTGTGATGACAGGTGTAATGAGAATATCAAATATCAAATAAGCTCTACTGAAAGTAAAACTGAGTATTATATACCCGATAATTTTTTCACATTCCTGTACTTAAAAACGAACAATTATTGTTCAAGTATTATGAACTACTGTAAGCTCTCTTTTGGTGTATAGAGTATAGATTTTCAACATTATATTGGATTTTTAAGGAAGGATGGCTGATGCAGCAAAATCTGATCCCCTAGATGACAGACCATTCACCCAGTTTGAATAGGGCCTCCTAAAAAAAAGGCAAAATGGACTCGAGTCATTCCAGGTCCCCAGAACAACTGGCTCTGTTCTTTTTAGAAGCAAAAGAGTTGATGTAATGGAGGGATAGAGGTGAAGATATACTGTGAAAAAATAAATAAAAAGAGATTTGCTGACTACACAGTTCTGCTAGTTCCATTCATGAAAGGCTTGAGGCCAGTTCTGTATAACTAACAGCCTCTCACTACCATAAACCCCAGCTGGCAGCTCCAGTTAAAGTGTGCTGAGACAGACAAACCCAGCTCATCCACAGGCAGCCATGAAAGAGGACAAAGTTCTAGTTAGGATGAGCTCTATCAGCCACAAAAAACGAACAGCCCTTCAGTAAACAAACAAAGCCCCAAGAGAATATATGTAGAGGAAAATTAACAGTAATTAAAAATGTAAAAGTAATTAAAAATGTAAAATGCATTTTTTTTTTTTTTAAATTAGAAAAGCCAGAGAAAACTGGGAGCACTTGGAGTTATCTAACAGGATAAAGTAGCTATCCTGTCTCAAGAAAGGTATCGGATATACCGTATCTCACATACAAATGGAAGGACGGTTGGTTTGTAGGTATTTTCAATCTTCACAAGGAAGAATTTAAGACCAATAGTAGTAGGAATAGCAAGGGAAATCATTAAATACTAATCTCTGGTGATTCTGTCAACATGCTGAGCACAGCCCTCCAGGGCAAATTAAGTGTTCCTGAATGCACACAAGCCTAAATCCTTGCTGCCCAGGAAAGGTACAAAGTAAGTCTTTTCATTTTAATCAACCATATTCACTTTTACATCATTTTCAGCAGAAAAACTATACTAAAACGATACTTTCTTTAATACAAAGGTCTTACTTTTTATAAATCAGATAGGTCCTATTGTTTTAAAATTTTATTTACCTTGCATACATGTATTGCCTCTCGTAACCACCACAATGAGGATACAAAAGCCTCGCTTGAGCACTGGCCGGTTTGGCTCAGCAGTTAGAGTGTCCACCCGCAGACTGAGAGGTTGAGAGTTTGATCCCTAGTTGGGGTCATGAAGGAGGCAACCTACTGATGTCTCTCTCACATTGATGTTTCTCTCTCTCTCCCTTCCACTCTAAAAATCAATGGAAAGCCCTGGCCGGTTTGGCTCAGCGGTTAGAGCGTCGGCCTGCGGTCCTGAGAGACCCGGGTTCGGTTCCCGCTAAGGGCATGTACCTCGGTTGCAGTTTGTCCCCGGCCCTGGTTGGTCGTGCGGGTGGCAGCCACTCGATGTGTCCCTTTCACATCGATGTTTCTCTCTCTCTCTCTCCCTCCTGCTCTACCTGAACAAAGAATGAAAAAGTGTCCTCGGGTGAGGATAAAAATAAATAAATAAAAATAAAAAAAAATAAAATAAAATAAAAATCAATGGAAAAATATTCCTGGGTGAGGATTAACAAAAACAAACAAAAAAACCTCTTTTGTGCTGCCCCTCTGTAGTCACCCCATCCTCCATCCCTACTCTTTTCATTGTTCTGTCTCTTCAAGAATGTCATATAAATGGATTAATACAGTACACAGCGCATTGTTTTTAATCCTCGCCCGAGGATATTTTTCCATTTTATCTTAAGATAGAGTCGTACACAGAGAGAGAGAGATACATCTATGTGAGAGAGAAACATCCATTGGTTGCCTCCCACAAGACCCCGACCAGGGCCAGGGATGAACCACAACCTAGGTACGTGCCCTTGACTGGAATACAACCGGTAACTCTTTGGTCAACAGGCTAAGCTCTAACCGCTAAGCCAAACCGGCCAGGGCAACAGCGCATATTTAAAGGACGTAGCCTTGAGACTGGCTTCTTTCCCTCAGTATAATGCCTTTGAGATCCATTTATGTTGTGTATTATCAATAATTCCTTCTTTTTTATTGCTGAGCGGTATGTCCCATTGTATGGATCTACTAGTTTGTTTATCCATTCACCTACTAAAGGGCATTTGGATTGTCTGCAATTTTGGGTGGTTATGAATACAAATCCTAAAACATTTATGTACAGGTTATGTACAGTTATAAACATAACTTCATTTCTCTATGGTAAATTACCCATGAGCTGGGTCATATGGAAAATGTAAGTTTAAAAGAAATGGCCAGTTTTCCTTAGTGATTATATCATTTTGCATTCACATCAGCAATGTATGAATTCCAGTTGCTACATATTTCACTAACACTTATTAGTGTTAGTAGTTTTTATTTATTTATTTATTTATTTATTTATTTATTTATTTATTATCCTCACCCGAGGACATTTTTGCATTTATCGTCAGATAGAGCGGGAGGGAGAAGGGGGAGGAGAGAGAGAAACATCCACACGAGAGAGACACATCCAGTGGCTGCCACCCACACAACCGCAACTGGGCCAGGGACAAACTGCAACCAAGTTACGTGCCCCTACAGGAACCGAACCTGGGACTCTAAAGTCCGCAGGCTGACACTCTAACCACTGAACCAAACCGGCCAGGGCGTGTTAGTAGTTTTTAAAGTTTAGCCAATCTAATAGATATATCCTAGTATTCATTGTGGTTTTACTTTGTATTTCCCTATTGACTGATGTTGAGCATCTTTTTGTGTGCTTATTTGCCATCTGTATGTTCTCTTTGGTGAGTCTTTTGCACATTATTAAAATAGGATTGTTTCTTTTCTTTTGAGAGTTCTTTGAATATCTTATTGTTTCCTTTCTCCTTTTAATTCAATTTACTGGGGCAACACTGGTTTCAGGTGCACAATTCTAAAATTCTTTATGTATTTTGGATACAAGTCCTTTGTCAGATATAAAATTTGCAAATATTTTCTTCCAGTCTATAGCTTGTCTTTCCTTTCTCTTAACATTATTTTTCTCTGAACACAAGTTTTAATTTTGATGAAGTCCAGTTTACCCATGTTTCCTTTTAGTGTCATATCTAAGAACTTTTTGCCTAAGTCCAGGACATGAAAATTTTCTAAAAGTTTTATAGCTTTACACTATTCAGATTATGATCCACTTTGAATAAATTTTTGTGTAAGATGAGTTTTAGGTCAGGATTCAATTTTTTTGCATGTGGACATTGAATTGTTTCAATACCACTTATAGAAGACTATCCTTTTTCCATTGAATTGCCTTTACATTTTTGTCAAAAATCAGTTAGTCATATTTGTGTGGCTCTATGTCTGGACTCTCTCTTCTGTTCCACATGAATCTACATGTCTACAGTCATGAGTACTGTAGCTTTACAGTAATTCTTAAGATTGGGTAGTGAGTCCTCCAAATTTGGTCTTCTACAAAACACTTTTTAGTTCCTCTGCCCTAACATTATTTTAGAGTCAGTCTGTACCTACAAAAAATCCTACTGAGACTGTGACTGGAATTATATTAAATCTATAGGTCAACTGGAGAAAAATGACATCTTAACTATATACTATAAAGTCTTCCAAACCAAGAATATGTTGTCTTCCCATTTATTAGGTCTTGATTTCTTTCGTCAGCATTTTGTCTTTTTCCACATACAGATTCTGTATATGTTTTGCTAGACTTATACCTAAGTATTTTTCTTTTCTGAAGCTACAGTAGTCCCCCCCATTATCCAGTTTCACCTTCTGCAGTTTCAGTTACCCACGGTCAACTGAGGTCCAAAAATATTAAATGGAAAATTCCAGAACTAAACAATTCATAAGTTTTGTTTTTGTTACGACCCTGGCCAGGGATCAAACCTGCAACCCAGGTATGTGCCCTTGACTGGGAATCAAACCTGAGATCCTTTGGTCCACAGGCTGACATTCTAACTGCTGAGCCAAACCGGCCAGGGCAATAATTCTTAAGTTTTAAATTGCTCGTAGCTCTGAGTAGCATGATGAAATCTCAGGCTGTCCTGCTTCATCCCGCCTGGGACATGAATCATCCCTTTGTGATCAGCAAATGCATGTTGTACATCCTACCCGCCTATTAGTCACATAGTAGCCGTCTTGGTTTTCAGATTGATGGTCATAGTATCACAGTGCTTTTGTTCGAGTAACCCTTATTTTACTTAATTGTCCCAAAGCACAAAGTAGTGATGTTGGCAATTAGAATATGGCAAAGAGATGCCTTTATAGTATGTATGTATAGGAAAAAACATAGTATATATGGTTTGGTACTATCTGAGGTTCAGGCGTCTACTTGGGGTCTTGAAACCTGCAGATGGGGGGGACTGCTATACTGTAAATGGCAGTTTTGGTAATTTCATTTCAAATCCTTTATTGCTAATATATGGAAATGATTGACTTTTGTGTTGTTCTTATATCCTATCTTGCTCAAGTTACTTAGTGTTACTTTTTTTGTATATTCCATGTTTTTAATATAGTGAGGCAAAAGTAGGTTTACAGTTGTGAGTATGCAAAAGTTTATTCTTATATTATTAATTATTGTATTATTTCCCATATAAACAACTGTAAGCCTATTTTTGCCCCACCCTGACATCACCACATGAACATGGTGATGTCATTTGCAAATAGGGACAATTTTATTCCTTCCTTTCTAGTCTGTTGCCTTTTCTTTCTTTTGCACTAGCTAGGTCTTCTAGTATGATGTAGAATGGAAGTGTTGAGAATGGATTCCTTGCCTTGTTTTGATTCTTAAGGTCAACGTATTCATCCTCCATTAAGTATTATGTTAGCTGTAGGTTTTTTGTAGATGCCTTTTATCAAGTTGAGA